AAGGTGAGAAGGGCCCCATAAGTGAAAGTAAAAAGGCAAGAAGGCTTCACAGTGACTGAGAATAAAGGGAGCGAAGGGGAATGGTTAGAGATAGTTTATAGAAGCAAGAACGTAGAGCTTGTTAGAAAATAAGGGATGGCAGACCGTGTGACTGGGATAGTGAGGGGGATGAAGGTCATAAAGATAAGGGTTTGAGAACAGCCTGAGGGAGGTGATTGGATGTCCACAGGGCAAGAAGAAACCAGTTTGGGGGGATGTGCCCCAAAAGGTCAGACGTTTACAGCAAAAAAGGTCAGAAGCCTTCACGAGGAAGATGACAAATCTTCATCCCACGACCCACTATGCACGCGCAAGAGCGGAGGGTCTGCATGCTGATGATCCCTCGGGAGTGTAATGAATATGTATCTGAATTCCAGGAAAACTATTGATTATGTATTAATTCAGCCTATATCTGTAGTGCGATTTTTCCTGACGGTGTGCAAGTTAGGCGGATCTATCCCCCTTGCACCCAGTGTCTGTGCAGCACTGAATAAACCGTACCTGCTCTGTAATCGTACTTGGGTTACAGAGTTTGATTCCGCACGTCAGGAGGGAAGCTCCCAAAAATTCCACGACACTCAAAAACCCCACCACTCTTGTGCTTGTATCTAAGCAGCAGGGGGATAGCTCTGCAGAAGAGAAGCCTGCAAAAATCCCACAGCACTTGTGCTCGTTCTATAGCTTGGTCTAAGTGGAGATTCCAGAAGTTCTTTGGCACTCATGCTTGTTTGCTTTTCACCAGCAATGGTAAAAAGGCTCCACCGAAGCCGTGGTGAGAGGCTCCACAGAAGGGAGGCCTCTGGAATTCCATGACACTCAAAAATTCTCACAACAATTGAGCTTGTTCTGCTTTTCACTTGCAATGGTGAAAAGGCTCCACCGGAGGGAAGCCTCAAAATACCCCGGGACACTCAGATATCCCACGACACTTGTTGTGCTTATTCAGTTATTAACCACAATAGGGATAGCTCAGCTGAAGCAAAGCCTTCAAAAATTCCACGATGCTCCAGTGGTCCCACGACACTCGTGCTTGGTGCATCTAAGCAGCTGTGGCATAGCTCTGCAGAAGGGAAGCCTCAAAAATTCCACGATACTCAAAAATTCCCACAATGTTTGTTCTGCTTTTCACCTGCAGTGGTAAAAAGGCTGCACTGAAGCAATAGTGAGAGGGGCCACAGAAGGGAAGCCTCCAAAATTCCACGACACTCAAAAGATCCCACGACATTCGTGCTTAATCTGTTTTTCACCTGTAATGGTGAAAGGCTGGGAAGCCTTTGGAAGGGAAGCCTCCAAAATTCTCACGACGCTCAGAAATCCCATGACACTTGTAGTACTTGTAGAGTTCCTAACCACAATAGGGATAGCTTCGCTAAAGCAGAGCCTCCAAAAATTCCACGACACTCCAAAGATCTCACGACATTCGTGCTTATTCTGTTTTTCACCTGCAATGGAGAAAAGTGTCCACCGCAGCAACGGTGAGAGGCTCCACGGAAGGGAAGCCTCCGATAGCCCCACGACACTCCGCTCCTTCTACTCCAAACCAGCACTTCCACAGCTCGCTCGAAGGGCAGACTGCAAGACTTCCCCAACACACGCGCTTGCTCTACCATTAACCACAACAGGGATAGCTCCGCCAAAGCGGAGCCTCAAAAAATTCCACGACACTCGTGCTTGTTCCTCTCCACGGAAATCTTTAGTAAAAGGCGAAAGATTTATACGATCTGAAGAGAAACCAGAGTATAACCCCACCCCTTCCCGGCCCCGTGCCCACTGCCGGCCCGCCGCCCCCAGCACGCGGCGTTCTGCCCTCCTCCGTTCCGCCCGGCACAGCCCGGCTCTGCACCGCCCCGTCCCGCCCCGTCCGATCCCGGCGGCCGCTCACGCGCGGAGCGGCGGAGCCCGGCGAGGCGCGCGTGTCCGCGCGCTGCACGCGGGGTATTCTAATAAGCCGCATGCTAATGAGCCGCATGCTAACGAGGAGGCGCCCTACCCCAGCGCTCAGGTTGGGGCGGGGCCGAGCGGCGCAGAACGGAACGGAACGGCGGTGCGGTGCGGTGCTGCTTTGGGAGCGATGTGCGGGAGTGTGCGATGGGGGCTGGACTGCTGAAACTGAATGGAACTCCGGACGTTCCATTCGCAGCAAACTTAGCACAAGCGAACGCTCACTCTGTTACTAAGCAGCAGTGAGATCGCTCCGCCGAAGGGACGCCTCTGAAATTGCACGACGCTGAGAGATTCCCACGACATTCGTGTTCGTCCTGCTTTTCACTTGCAGTGGAGAAAAGGCTCCACCGAAACAACGGTGAGAGGCTCCGCGGAAAGAAAGCCTCACGACGCTCAGAAATCCCACGACATTCGTGCTTGTCGCGTCTAATCAGCAGCGTGACAGCCCTGCACAGGGGCGGCCTCAACCCCACGGCGCTTGTGCGCGTTACCGTAGCTCAGTATAAGCACAGAGCAGTACGGCTCCGCGACACTGGTGCTGCTCTGTCATTAACCACAACAGGGATAGCTCCGCCAAAGCGGAGCCTCAAAAAATTCCACGACACTCGTGCTTGTTCCTCTCCACGGAAATCTTTAGTAAAAGGCGAAAGATTTATACGATCTGAAGAGAAACCAGAGTATAACCAAACACTTTCCCGGCCCTCATCCCACTGCCCGCCCGCCTCTCCTCGTGCACGGCGATCCCCGCCTGCCCGCTTTTTCCTCCTCTCCCGCTTCCCACTTTCCCGCCCCGCTCCCGGCCCCGCACAGCCCCGCGCTATCCCGCGGGAACGGCGGCGCAGTGCAGCGCTATCGGGGTCGCGCCGCCGCGGTGCACGCTGGGTATGCAAATTACTGAGCCGTATTCTAATGACGGCTGCAGCCAGGCCCGTCAGCTTCCGGGTTCTTGTCGCTGCAGTGTTTCTAAGCAACGGCGCCCGCCCGCGGTGCGCGGCGCGATGACGTAACGGCCTCGCGAGAATTCGCGGCGGCAAACCGCCCCGTGATCCTTTGCGCCGCCTCTTTGCGGCGGTGCTGCGCCATGGGTGAGTGGGGTTGCTGCTGGGCCTGGTCGTCATCCGCCGCCATCCGCTCGTTGTGCTGCCGCTGCCTGTCTCTGTTCTTTGCTACGCGGTGGCTGGGGGTGCCGCCATCCCCTGCTGCTTACTTTTGGGAAAGGCCGCGGCAGCGCCGAGTAGCTGGTGGGAGAAGATTGCCTAGGCTCAACATGGCGTCGGGGGGAGGGCGGCCCCGCCGGGCCTCAGCGCGGGGCTCCTTCATAGCGGTGTGTTTGCGGGGTGCTTCGGGCCTTCCTGCGGCCCCCAGGAGATGGGATGGATATGGGGTTGGTGGGGTTAGGGCTGGGTGCCTCTAGGACGCTGCAGCCTGGCTGAGAGGAGGGTGGGTTGAGGTGCCTCGTTTCCTGTAGGGACTTGCGGTTTGTTGGTGTGGAGGGTTTTTTTCCTAGCATTCTCTGCCAGATTGAGTCGTGTTTTAAAGCCTCTGTTGTTGCGGACTTAATTGCTTGATATGAGATGCTTCTTGCTGGGGCTTGTAAGGTGAGCTGGGGGGCTGCAACCCAAAGAGAACTAGAGAACCCTGTAGACATGCTGGATAGAAGCAGGCTGCTCTGTGCAGCTGTGCTCGAAGTGATCAAAGTGCCTCTGAGTCTCAATGATGAAGCTTCTCTGACTGCTGCATAAAGCTGAGTGTGCTGTGCGGATGCCAACCTTGGAGAGCTGAGGACTCAGAGCTGTGCCCCGCTGCAGGCAGGTGGGGTCTGTGCGCGCTCTGACCACGCTGCTCCCTACATTCAGGTATCTCCAGGGACAACTGGCATAAGCGCCGCAAGACTGGGGGCAAGAGGAAGCCCTACCACAAGAAGAGGAAGTATGAGCTGGGTCGGCCTCCTGCCAACACTAAGGTGGGTGATTGGTGGAGGGCAGTCAGTCATTTTTCATACATGGTTTGCTGGTTTTAGCAATAAGAGGCAATAGGAGTGATGAAACTTTCACCTTAGGTAGATGCAACAGACCGTTTTGGTTATTTACTGTATCTGCCGATGCTGGGGTTTGTCATAGTTACACTGACCACACTGCCTTCCAGTTTAGGACTTGACTGGGCTCCTCATGTGTTGCGCTGCTTACTGACACCAGCAATGCTGATTATTTTTCTGTCTGTAGATTGGTCCACGCCGAATTCATACAGTGAGGGTTCGTGGTGGTAATAAGAAATACCGTGCCCTTCGATTGGATGTTGGCAACTTCTCTTGGGGCTCTGAATGTAAGTACATCATCAGTGTGATGTGATTTAAATGCATTTTTACAGCTGTGGCAGTCTCCAGTACTGCTAACAGAGTAGAGGGGTGATGGAGCAAGCGTAGATTTTTAGGCTGGATTTGAACGCATTGCATTTTGCAGAGTTGGCTTTGAAGCAGTACGCATGGTGATGATAACTTTGACCTTATGTGGCCTTGGGAGACTTGGATGTCTGCTGGGTTCACAATGCTTGGAGTGTCATAGTTACACTGAGGGGCGTGCTTGTATTGTCTGCTTATTGGGGTGGGGGGGATTACCCTGGGGCAAAAAAAGAGAATGCCTACAGGTCTTCATCAATGCAGCTTGCATCCTGACCAGTGTATTGACAAGGGAGCACCTGGTTTCTTAGTGATGGCAGAGCACTGTCTAAAATGAAAAGTGCTGTCATTTTTCAATAGTATTGCAGTAATAAGGGAACTGAGCTCACCTTGCAGAACAAGTATGAAGTACCTGAGTGAAGAGAAGGAAACCTGTTTTTTTTACCTGTCCTTTGTGTGACAACTCTAAATGCAGTAGCTGAATGCTGGGCGCTTCACGTGGGCCAGGAAGAGTGAAAGCCCCAGCTTCATCTCTCAATTTATTCAAAATCTCTCCTGTAAAAATGGCTCCCGTTCCATGCTGCATTCAGCTCAGTTTATTTGGTAATTGTAGGAAGCTGTACAGGATTGAGCCCTCTGTGTGGTGTTGATTGGCATCTGCTAAGATATCTTTCACTCCAGAAATCTGCTGTTCAGCATTATTTAGTCATCTTAGAGATTAGTTACTTCAGCATCACGGGTTTCAGTTTCTCATCTAGCATGGATCTTTTTCCACATACAGACTTGTGTTGTAGGATCAGAATTGGATTGATGGAATAAAAAAGATAAATGTCAGCTAAATTAAAGTCAGTGTCAGGGGACTGGAGGACATTTGAGGGGGTGATGTGAGCTGACTTTAGGGTATGCCCGAGATGCTGTGGAATTTGTTCTCAGCTGTCTGATTCCTATAGGTTTGAATTCATGCTCTTCTTTTGAAAGGCTGCACTCGCAAGACCAGAATCATTGATGTTGTCTACAATGCTTCCAACAACGAGCTGGTGCGGACAAAGACCCTGGTGAAGAACTGCATCGTTCTTGTTGACAGCACGCCGTACCGACAGTGGTATGAAGCCCACTATGCCTTGCCCCTTGGACGCAAGAAGGGTGCCAAGCTGGTATGTATGTCTGGGGTTGCTTGGTTTCTTGGCAGCTAGCTGTTGTGAGTGGACAGCACTTGCCAGCATCGATTGGGTTCCTGACAGTGATAGTGCTGGTCTTGTGGGCTACATTCCCATCAATTCCCAGAATAAGTCAGGTTCTGTTAATGGAGCATTCAGGACCACAGTGTTCTCTAATATGTCAGGTTTGGTTGTGCACAAGGGTCTGCCTGTAAATCTGTCTTCTAATGATGATACTTCTGTCCAGTTCTGCTACTGAAGGGAGAGCGATGACACTTGTGATGCTGAGGAAGACTTTGCAGTCAGGTCCTTGTGCTGAGGAATTGCTGTCCTCTGATTTAAAAGCTTGTGGATTACTAACTTGCTTTTAAGCGTTTTAAAGTGTCTTCAGATTCATTGCCTCAAATTTCAACATTCAAGCCCCAGATAGTTAAAAGTTTTTTGAACACTTGTATAGTATTCAGCTTAAGTTAGTCTTGTGTTTAAAAATAAAGCTCTCGTTTGCTTACCCACTGTGTGGTTCAGAGCATGGAGAGAACTTTTAGCTTGTCTGCCAGGAATTGCACCGCACCTGAGTGCTCTCATGTCTGGAGAAGGAGAGTATTCACTTTTTTTGGAGGATGGCTAATTGAGGAAGCCTTTGCAGTTTCATCTGTCAGGGGAGTTTCCTGAGGGCTCTGTCCTTACTTGTCAGCAGTGACTCCAGTCATTAATATTTCATTTCTTGACCTCAAAAGTGAAAAGCAGCACTTGATTCTGTGAAGTATTTGTGCCTTGAGAAGATGTGATTTGGGACATAACAGTACTTAAAGAAAATCCTTCTATTTTTAGTGAAGATCTCTTGCAAGAAATAACATGTACTTAACCTTGTCTTCAATTTATGTTGATCTTGTCTTTACATATGGGCTTGTTTTTAGACACCTGAGGAAGAAGAAATCTTGAACAAGAAGCGTTCAAAGAAGATCCAGAAGAAATATGATGAACGAAAGAAGAATGCCAAGATAGCCAGTATTCTTGAGGAGCAGTTCCAGCAAGGAAAGCTACTGGGTGAGTCCCTGGGAGCATTGGTGTGGGTGAGGATGAGGGAGTCAGTCAACAGTGCCAGAACAGATGCTGTTCTTGCTCCTGGGATCATGTCCCAGGACAAGCTGTGTCTACAAGCTGTGATAAAGCTAACTGCAAGTTGAAAGCAGTGGGAGAGTTCTCCCTATCTGTTTGCAGGTGTTCTTCTGGGTGTTAAGAGTATCTGTTATTGTACTTCCTCTGGAGATAGCCCAGTCCTGGCAGGAATATAAAGTGTTTTTGTAGCTGAAGCACTGGGAGCGACAGCTAGCAAACCTGCTTTTTTAGTCTTGAGAGAAACGATGGGGCTTGAGACCTGCAAAATGAGTGAAGACATGGGTGGACTGTGTTTCAGGAAAAGCTCAGCATGTACCTTAGCAGTTTTAGCAGTTTCAAGTTTTGTTGTGAGTAGTTTAGTGTTTTGAAGTCTTCTGGTGATGAGACCTTTGTCCAGTTCTGCTACTGAATTTGAGAGATGACTGTTTGGAGATCTGAAGAGGACTTCATTGTGGGTGTAGCCCAGCAGAACAGGTTCAGAGCAAGGTATCTCAGGAGAGGTACTTAAGCCAGCACATAAACTGGTCCTTGCTCATTCATGCTTTTGTAGAGAGACTGCAAGTAATGTTTCCTTTGATTTGTGTATATTCTATAGAGAATTATTTGACTTAACTGAGTGAGTTCTCTTTGCAGCCTGCATTGCCTCCAGACCTGGACAGTGTGGCCGAGCTGATGGTTATGTGTTGGAAGGCAAGGAATTAGAGTTCTACCTGAGGAAGATCAAGGCCAGAAAAGGCAAATGAAAATCAACGATTTTCTTGAAAGAGCCAATAAACGCGCGAGTCTCCTGTAATAAATGGGTCGTGTGCTTATTTGTGTGCAGAGGGGGCCTTGAGTAGCTCCTTACGAAACATGAAAGCAAGAAGGTTCCCCTGGCATCACCAGGTGCTTTTCTGTCTTGAGGTAAACTCTGACCCTGCTTGCTGTTGATTAAAACATCTCGCTGGGTTTTACGGCAGTGACTTAGTGAACCAAGTGGATGTGGAAGAGTCATCAGCAGGAATCAACATTGACAACTTTGGGAGTTGTTTTTTTTAAGTTATTATTACTGCACAGATATTTGTAAAAGACATGGAATGAAGCTCAAATGGCATATTTCCAATACTAAAAAAAAAAAATGACTGCAAAGGGAGGGTGTAGATGTTCATTCCTTCTGGAGTTTGGCTTTTTGGGAATAGAGTGGGTCTGGCAGGGTATGTGTTCCCTTTTGCCCTCTGGTACGTTAGGTAAGCACTGACTGCACCAGGGGCCTTGTGCTCAGCTGTCTGAGGAGGAGGGTGCCCACTTAGCAGCTTCAGAGCTGCAGCACTGCGTTTGTTAGACTGCATCTTTCTGAAAGCAGTATCACAGCCTTGGCCCCCGCAGCTGGTATCTCCTGTCTTTTTTCTGTCCTCTGGTTGGCGCCAGCAACCCAATGCTATTTGCCGTGGCCTGGTGCGTTCTGCCTGGCTGCACGCTCACCTTCAAGGTCCAGTATCATGTTCTAAACCAGCTGTTGGCTGAATGTCTGCACTGGTCAGTGACTAGCTGGTCTTTCCCTGATCTCCTGGTCTCATTCCAGTGCAAGAGAAATCCCTTCTAGCAGAAGGGCCAGGCTCTCTTTGTGGCTTGCCCCTTTCGAAAGCTGGGTACAAGCTCCAGCTTTCTACATCGTCACTTAGAGCAGGATTAGGAAGCTGTGATGAGTTTTTTCCCCTTGTTTGGGAGCATCTTGTGACAAGTAACTTTACAAAGTCATTGTAACATCAGGCTTCTAGTTCCCTGGTGCTCTGGGCAGGCTGAATGTTCACACACCTGGTGCCTGCTAAGTGCACGCTCTGCATACCTGACCCACTTGCACATTCTTACAAAAGCCTCATTTGTTCATGGGAGTGCTCTGATGAGATGGAAACTGGCTGTGGCCCAAACCTTGTGCTTAACTCTCAGTTAGAGGAGTCTGTGATCAGCTTGCCCCCAGCAAAGCTGTTGTGAATAAAATGCAACCTGGTTGTGGTGCCTCTTTCCGTCGGGCAGCCCTTAGTGAGGTTCACTAAGGGTTCTTCGCTGGGTAAGGTGCTGAGCTCCAGCACTTCAGTGAGGACTGCCTGCCCCACAAATAATGCTGTTTTACAGATTTTCCTGCAGTGCCCTGCCCTGGCAGCAGACAGCAGGAGGTGCTAGTGGGCACAGATGACCTGAGCTGCAGGGATTCATCCTGCTTTGCTGGCAGGTTCTGAGGGTGGATAGAGACATAACCATCAGCCAGTGGTGCCACTGCCCTGCAGCCCAGGTTTGTGCTCACTACAGGGGTGAAATGGGCACTTGGGAGTCTCAGCACAGGGCCTGGCTGGGCGTGATGTTTGCACAAGCACATTCTTTCTCCATAGTGATCCCATGTAAACTTTCCCTGCTTTCTAGCAACGTGTTTTGCAGAGAGGTGCGGCGGCTGCGATAAAGGGCGTTCAGGAGGGATGTGTCACAGCAGCTTCCTCTGCATTTGCCTCGCACTGCTCACCCTCTGCAGAGAGCAAACAGGATTCAGGGAGTTCCTGGGGGACTTTGGACAGAAGGAGAAGCTGAGATGAGTGTTAGGGTAAGGGCAGAGGCTGTAAACCTTGCCACGATGGGCAGGATTATGACTGATCCATCAATGGTCAGCATTGCTATCACTGCTGCCAAGGGTGACAGCCCGTGGGAACAGAGTTAGCACCCATTGCTGTGCTGCAGGGACATGGGAACGTGGCAGGATAGCAGATAGCCAGGGTGTGTGGCACTGCCAGTTCCCGTGGTGACACGGGCTCAAGGCCTTGTGCAGCTGGGAAGTAGGAAGCATCTCTCCTGGCATGCAGTGATTTACAGCAAGCATGCAATGCACTGTGCCAGATAGGTGCTGGGTTATGGTTATACTGCTTGAACTTGGATAAGGTCACGAGTGCCAGTGCCTTTGTCAGGCCTGGGTTGATTCTGGGTAAAGTCCTTAGAAAGGGGATTTTTAGCAGCCCTGCTTTTATACTCAAGGAGAACATGTCTGGATGGGGGAATCCATCTGCAGAGGCTGAAAGCACCTTTTGCTTTGTAGCATGCAGCTGTGTAACCTGGTCTGAAGCCCTAAAGACATTGCAGTGTGAGCCCATGGAATGGAATTCACCCACTTTTAGGATGCAATTGATGTTCCTGCCCCTCACTGCTGGGGGTGACGACAAAGATCCTCAAAGCCAAGGCTGGCAAGAACTTTATTAACATTGAAGGTACGTCCCAGCACGGTACTCTGTGAAATGGGAAAACACATTTGCTCTGACCTGGCTCAGTGCTTGGGCTGTCCCCGTGGCAGCAGGCAGTGTGCCTGGCCAGCTGCGAGTGGTGGCATCACCCCGACCCATCAGCACCTCCCCACCGCCCTGGAGACAAACCCTTGTTCAGGACTGGTGAGGCCCTGCTTCTGGCCAGGGGGTGCCAGGGGTGCATTGAGACAGGGCTCTCCCACCTCCTCATGGCTCCCCAGCCCCCGGCTGCTCAGCTTCGATGCTCTCTCTGGATGGTGCCTCCACCTGGATCAGTGGCAGCTTCTCCTTCTGCTTATTGGAGGCCTTTGGGGAGCAGGGGCTGCCCCTCTGGCTCTCCTCATCCTCCGTCTCCTCCTCCTCGATGCGGCCGACGGCCTCGGGGTCCTCGCAGTGGGCAGTGCTGTCCCCCCTGGCACGCCGCAGGTGAGGGGTGGCTCGGCCGCCTCGACCAAAATTTTTGATGCTGATGGCAGGGGATGCGGCGGCGAGGAAGCGGCTGAGCAGCGGGGTCTGCGTGCGGGCCATGTTTGGCGAGGCCTCCACCGTCTGGCTCTGCTCCATGTCCTCGGTCATGCTGAGGGGCACGGGGGGGTGATTAGGATGGCCATGTGTCCACAAGGTCCCCACTGATCCTGCCAGGTTGGTGGTAGGGACTCCCTCCATGTTCCAGTCGGGATGTCCTGTGCACTCACCGCATGTCAAAGGTGGAGCCCAGGAAGGAGGGCTTCAGGGTCTCGGCAGCAGTGGCTATGGTGTAGGGGGGCTGAGCAGTGGACTCATTCCAGTACTTGTCCTTGGTGGCTGGTGGCAGGTTCTGGTACATGTCATCCACTGACAGCAGGGACACCTAGGCATGGCAGGGACAGAGGACAGCTCCCATTGGTGCCTTGCTGGGTGTCCCCATGCCCACCCAACCTTATAACAGCCCAGGGCAGGACCCACCTGCAGGTTTCTGTCTATCAATTTATTGGTCTCAAAGTCATCATCATCTTCCCCAAAAGGGTTAATGATCTGCTCTGCAACCTGGGGAGGGAGGGAAGAGGTGACACAAGAACACAAAGGGACAATGACAGGGACACCTTCCCACAGGGCTCTTCATCCTTCAGTCCATGTAGAATCATAGAACGTAATCATAGAATCATTCAGGTTGCAAAAGACCACTAGAATTGTCCAGTCCAACCACTGACCCATCACCAACATGTCCACCAAACCATGAAACATGGAACAGACCGGTGTTGCATATCCCATCTACCCAGTGCCCTGCTGTGACATGTCCCCAAGGGCTGCAGGCAATGCTGGTGCCATGCCCTGTGCCAGGCACATCCCAGCCATGTGGTCGCATCTCACCTTCAGCCAGCCAGCGTAGAAGAAGAACTGCAGGAGGGTAGAGAGGGGGATGTACATATCCAGGTCCCCCTCCTGCCCTGGCTCCAGCGGCTCCAGGAACTGCCGCCCAATGAGGCAGAAGGCAAAGAAGGAGTACACAGCAATGGTAACCACCTGCATGGGGAACATGGGGACAGAAGGTGACAGTGAAGGGAGGCAATCCCAGCAGTGCCCCATGCTCCAACACATTGCTGCTGGGCTGGGGTCACTCACCTGTGTGTACACCAGCGGGATGCTGATCCAGTCGTAGTGGAACAGCATGCTGCACTTCGCCCGGAACAGGTTCAGCTCCTAGCAGGGAGGCACGGGTGGGTTTTTCCCTATTCCCCATAGTTCTCAGCCCCTTGCACACCTGATGCCGACTCACATCCATCAGCAGACGCAGGGCAACGTCATCACGAATGCGGCCATCGCGCCGTGCCTGGGCTGCCAGGTTGGTGAACCAGACGCAGGGGATCCAGTACTTGTTGAAGTCCGAGTACAGGCTCTCAAACTGCTTGCGCTCATCCTGCGTCATGAAGCCTGCAGCAAGGCAGAGGATCAGCACCATGGATCCCGTGATGAAGGGAAAGGGACCTTTGGGGGGACAAGATTTTGGGGATGGTCCCAATGGGAATCTGGTTCTGTATGGAATCTACAGCTATGGGGGACGTGGGTGAGCAGAGAAGACATAGATGTCTTTGGGGATGAATGCCTATGTAGGCAAATAAGCTCTCCACACCATGGTTGGGTGCAGCCCCCAAGAAGCTGGGGATGCGTATTAGCGGGATATCCCTACTGCGAACTCCCCCGGAGTGACACCTCTAAGGCCCCCACCTCTCCCACCCCATCATCCTGGGGTCTGTCACCCCTCACCAGCTTCCACCACGTGGTCCATGGTGGGGAAGCGTTTGAGCACCCTGGTGCTGACGGAGCGCAGGATGAGGACGGCCGACAGGTTGGCGTAGCGCACCAGGGTGCGCCGCAGGATCCGACCCCGCTCGTCCTTGCCGTGGACGTTGCTGGAGATGACACACATGAGCTGGTCAGGCAGCGGGATGCTGGTGTACTGTGCCCACCACCGATTCACGATCAGGGTGACATAAAAGCCTGCAGAGAGATGTTCCATTGGGAGCTCTGAGTGGTTGGGTCCAGGTGAGGATGAACCAGTTCCCGTTGAATTTCTGGGGTTACTGTTCCCAGGGATGGAGATGGGGACATCCCTGACTCTTTCAGGTTGGATATCAGGAAAAATTTCTTCTCCAAAAGAGTGGTCGGGCACTGGCACAGACTGACCAGGGAGTTCGTGGTGTCACCATCCCTGGAGGTGTTCAAGAACCAAGGGGATGTGGCACTGAGAGACATGGTCAGTGGGCATGGTGGGGTGGGTTGGGGTTGGTGGGTGATCATCCCATTGATATCCCCAAGGACAAGAGTGGCTCCAGGAGCTGAGTGTCACTCCCAGGACTCCTCCAGCCTCCAGCCAGGATGGGAAGTGGGGGCAGCCCCACAGCAGGGAAGCAGGAGAGGGACCCATACCTAGGACAAAGGACATGGGGATGAGGTCCGTGGAGCGGTTGCAGTACTGAGCCACCTTGGTGTAGAGACGCTTCTGCTCCTCAGTCAGCAGCCGCCTGCAGCAGGCATGGAGCAGGGTCAGGGGTGAGCAGTGGGGCTACCCCAGAACCCTACAAAAAGCCATTGTCTGTGTCCTCTTCTCCTTGTGGGGTTCCACCCCAACCCTCCTGGGGGAGTCTCTTGAGGACTAGTGGACCATGATTGATGGACCACTACACATCCCCACCCCCAGACATGGCCCCTCACAGGTGACACTGAGGACATAGGGAGCAACACAACCCACTCACCGGTAGATGATGCTGAGCAGTGCATACAGCACCACAAAGACGATGAACTCCTTGTAGAGCAGCTTGTAGATGCTGCCCTTCCAGCGGAAAAGCAGTTTGGAGAAGCCCCCAAAACGGGAGTTGGCGACTTTCAGTGTGTAGGAGACTGTCATGGCAGCACAGCCCCACTCCTTGGGGCAGGAGCACCCTTATCTCACTGCCTGGGGAGGAGCAGGGTCCCTACTGCTGGCCAGGATATGCACTCACCCCACCAAGCACTGGTGCCCATCAGCCAGATCGCTCTGCAACCTCTGCCCATCCCTACTCATGTCCGTGACTTCCCTTAAATACCCCGGTGTGGACCCATCAGCCCTGCAGTGATGGATTGGGGCTGTCACAGCCAAGGAACAGGGAACTGAGGCTCAGCCACACCTCGCTGTGACTGGAGATGCCGATGGGAGATGGTGCCAGTGCTGGGAAGCACGGTGCTGGGAAGCACAGTGCCCAGTTGGGTGCTTAGGGAAGTTCCCCTTAAGAGGGGAAATGACGGCTGGAGGCAGGGAGCTGGAAGGGCAAATCTCAGTGGGACAAAAATCACCAGGAACCATATGCAGGGAGCAACAGGACGTGCAGTGAGACCACCCCATCCTCGTCCTCATCCCCTATCTGTCTGCACTGGTACCGGTGCTCCCAGCCCAGCACCTTCAGGGTCGGCAGCTCCGTCCCATTGTGGGCTGCGCTGGGCAGGAAACGCCGCTTCCTTTACAGCCATAACGCCGCGTCCCGCCCTGCCCGGCTCCCTTCCTGCCCGGCACAGCGCCCAGCCCAGCCTGCATCGGCTCCAACCATGGAGCTGGGGGCTTCCAGTGCAAGAAATGCCCCTCATACATCCCCCTGCTGCCCCTTTTCTTTCTCATGATGTTGAGGCACAGGTATAGGACACGGGGCTGCAGTAGAGCTGGGACACCCATGGGTGGAGTTAATGGAGATAATTTACAGCCCTCCAACAACCCTTCCTGACCCGAACACTGTGCCCACAGCTTCTACCAGTGGGCCATAAATCACAGCCTCGGTCACACAGGTCGGCACCCGCTGCCCCGAATCAAGAGACAGGGTGCAGCCAAGCTGCCAGGAGTACAATGATTTATTTTGCGTTGGCTGCTCCAGGGCAGGGAAGGCTGCACCCCACGAGCACTTTGCTAACGTGGCCCCAGTTGAGCCCACCTGTGCCCAGTGCTCACACATGCATGTGTGCACATGTACAATGAGTGGGCATGGCAGGGTGTGCTGGGGGAGCAGACAGGGCTGTTCCAGGCTGCCCATGTGGGACCCTGTAAGCAGATCTCATTTCTTGTCTCTGGGTCCCATTATCTGTGGGCTGGGAAGCAGCAGAGCTGTGCTGGATGCAGCTGAATGCAGAGAGGACAGAGGTCCTGCTCAGAGGGTCTGGTGCATACAGTGCTGTTGTACAGACAGGACAGCCCCACCTCTTCTCCCTGGGTGCCTTCTGTCCCTGTACACCATCAGCCCATAGAAAACTCCCTGTGCCCTGCCCAGTGCAAGCATGGGGAACATATAGGAGAATGCAGCAGGAGGGGTGGCAATTTGGAGATGCAGCTCTGCAAACAGCCAGTGCAAGAATTGGTCTGTGCATCCCCCATCCACAGCCACCAGTATGTTCCAGCCAAATCCCAAAGCCCAGCCCAGCTACCCATCAGTGCAGCTCGATGTTCTCATACTCCAGGTTGTCCGAGTCCTCCAGCTCAATGCCAGGCACCAGGTTGTAATAGTCGGTCGATTGGTTCATGTAGATCTTCTCCCGGTCAGTGGAGTCCTTCAGCACATCGGTGACACTCACTGTGTCCCCCTCTGTCTCAGGGCTGTCCCGCTGCTCATCATAGGTTGGAACATGGGATCCCACCTGGATCTCCACTTCCTCATAGAGGTCCCTGCTGCCCTCCTCGGGGGGCTGCAGCAGCACCCGGCTGCCCCGCTGCACCTTCCCCTCGCTCTTGGAGGGGGCACTGGTTGGCTCATAGGGGACGTAGCGGTGCGGCTCGGGGCACACGGGCACGTTGCCCCTCTCTGTTGGGGCCGTGTGGCTGCTCCCAAGGCTGTAGTTGGTTTTCCTCTTCCTCCTGCAGAAGCAGCAGGTGATGGCTGCGAGGATGAGGAGGGGAGGCAGGCAGATGAAGAGGGCGGTGAGGCTGTGGTGCTGCTGGCACAGCTCGTCCCGTGGGATGCTCTGCAGCTCTGCACCGCGGTGCCGCTCCGGTGTATGGCAGGTGAGCTGGGCAGGCAGGCTGGGGGTGCCCTGCAGGGCATCCAGCAAAGCACAGCTGCACTCCCAGCTGTTGTTGGAGAGCTGCAGCTGCAGCAGGGATGGATGCAGGAGATTAGGGGGGAGGGAGGTCAGTGCATTGAACCCCAGGTGGAGTTCCTGGAGCTGAGTTGAGGCTTTCAGGAAGGATGTGGGCAGCTCCTGGAGCTGGTTCCCATCCAGATAGAGGACTTTCAAATTAGGGGCATCTTCCAGAAAGCCTCTGGGAATGCTCTCCAACTGGTTGTGACTTAAGTGCAAGACCTCCAAGGCTGGGGGGACTTCCTGGGCGTTGCTGATGGCTGAGATGCTGCAGTGTGAGAGGTAGAGCTGGCGCAGCCCTTGCACCGCCGCCAGCACTCTCCAATCCAGGTGGGTGACATTGGATCCAGTGAAGTTGAGGCAGCAGCTCTCGGCGGGCGGAGCTGTGCGGAACGCCTCGAAGTCCACAGGATGGGTGCAGTTGCAACTCTCCGGTGCCGGCTCTAGGGCGAGGCTGGCAGCGAGCAGGAGGCCGCCCCAGAACAGGGGCACGATGCCTGGGAGAGGGCACAGGAGATGGGCACCCCACTGCGTGATCAGCACGGGGAGCGGTCCCTCCGCCCGTAACCGCGTTCTGTCCCCGCACCCCCGTCCCTGCCCCGTCGCGCTGCTCCCTCCCGGTTCTCGGTCCCCCCCGCCCCGAAGCCACCGCCCTCACCTGCCGCCGCCCGCCCCATGCTCCCGGGGCCGCTCCGCGCTCCCCGACGCCGCACCGCCGCCGCCCGGCTCCGCCTCGCCGCGGGGGTGGCCCCGCCGGAACCCGACCGCCCCCGGGCCCGGCCCAGCGGTGCTCGGCCTTCGGTCCCTCTGCTCCGTCCCCTCTCTCCGGGCTCTTACACACTGCGAGCCCTCCGGTTGCGCCGTGCCGCCCCCTCCCCCTACATCTCATCCACTCTCCCGCCCACCCCAAAAATCCCATACTCAAACACCTCTCCCTATCCATCCCCCCTGCAGAACCCTTTCCAATTTTCCCCCATCCCCACAGGCTGTGTGCACCACCAGCCCCTTCCATACCCTCAGATCCTGTGAGACTCAGGGCTCTGCCCAATCCCTTTCTCCCAGGGAGGGGGACAGGACCCCTCCCGTCCGGTGCCCACCTGCGTGTGGGTGCAGCACCCAGTCCTGCCGTGGGTGGCCATGTTCGTGAGATGGGGACCAAAGGTACACCCTTCCAGGTCCTTACAATTTTCTTCCACCCCTCACAGCTCCCCGGACGGGAAGGAGGTGCCAGGCTTGGACACAGCAGCACAACCCACAAGAAAAGCAGTGCCGGAGAGGGAATTCCATACCCCAAAATGTGTGTGTGTGCTCAGTGCCCCGAGGAGCTGGGGAAACTGAGGCACATGGCACAACATCACTTAAGCCTGGGGGGAAGGAGGGTTCTCCTCCTCTGCCCAGTTTGGACCACGTTGCACACCCCAAATCCAAGTGCTTCCTTAATTTGGAGGGATCTGGGTCCTTTGACATCTCCTCGCAGGAAGGATTTGCAGCTTGCCCTCTGCACACCCCCAGCAGCTCATCCTGCTTCCTTCCCCCACTCAATAACCTCCCCTTCCTCCTCAGCAGCTGCAGCCCCATGATCTGTACGGTGAGAGGGACAGGGGAGGGGGAAGACCCTACTCCTGAGAAGGTCACAAACCCTGGGCAGCTCCTCTCTTCCAGGGTCCTTCCAACACCCTGGTGCACTGTGCATCAGCCACAGTTTTGCTAACCAGCTCCTGCTGCCATTGAGCATCATCAGAGGGGTCCTTTTTGGGGGGAGGGGGGGGAGAGGAACCTTTCTAAAGAGGTTCTGTTCTGCCCATATCTCCAACCAAAAAGCTGCAGGCAGGAGAAAGGTGACCTCAGAGCCCCTCTTCTCCAGGCTGTTGCTATTATACCATGTTCTCTTCCTACCCACACGGCAAAACACCCATCTGTGGTGCTCTCCTGCCCTCGTGCACCATGCAGGGCTGAGTTGCAAGTGGAGGAGGAGCAGATCCTGATCTCCTTCCATCCCATGGTGGGAGTGTGGGGGGATATGGGGGAATGTGGGCATCCACTTAAGTCCCTGAGCCCACCTAGAGTTGTTTCTCTCAGCAGGAGACCACGCAGTCAATCCCTGCAGGGCCCTGGGGCCTCCCTGCACCCCCGGGTGCCCCCGCCCCCGCGTTGCCACCAAAGGCTCTGCCTGGGGAGCTCCGTGTTGCCTGGGGAGCCCCGTGTTGGGGAGCCCCGTGTTGGGGCCTCCTTCAGAAAACCAGAGGTGCCCCGTGACGCCACCGCATACAGGGAGCCCTGGGGCCCTGGTGGAAACCATCTGTTTCCCCAAAGGGAGAACCTGTGTTTGCTGCCAGGCAGCGTGTGGGCATGTGTTTCCGCTGCAAAAGGTTGAAATCTGAGAAAAAAGCAAGCAGATTCAGATCACTTCAACTCTCCCCCCAAAGCGGGTTTGCTCGGCCTGCCTGCAGCACCCTGAAGGATGCAGGGCACTGGTTGTACAGAAGTGATTGTGTCAAATCTTTAGCATGGTTGGGGGCACAGCAAGCATCAGTGAGTGGAGCCCTGAGCTGCCTCAAGGGAGCAGAGGGGAAACTGAGGCACAGAACGAGGGACATGCACACGGTCCCCCAGAGCAGGGGGAGGGCAGCGGGATCTGCTTTACAGGGGCTTTTGCAATACCACTGACCCAGGATGGAGGGTGCACAGGTTTCTGGCCACTCCTGCTGCCCCACATTCCTCCTTGGCCTATTCTGGATTACACAGGGATGTGTCCTCCTTAGGGTCATTACAGAATAACACCTTGGTGACACACTGCCCTGGGCAGTCACCAGCTTGCATGGGGTCAGCACTGCCAAACTCGGACCCATGGTGCCCAGGAGCTGAGGGATGAGAATAGGTGTCCCCAGTCCTGAACTGGACATTGTGTGCAGTCACAGGGGACATCATGAAGGCCACTGGGGCACAGGGCTGTGCACAGGCCAGGACAAAGCGTACCAGAAGGGTGTCTGCCCAAAGGACAGTGTGGCTGCACAGCCCATCTCTTCCTTCCACTGTCCCGTGTCTCCAGCACCCTACCTTGGATGGGCTGTGACCCACCACATTCAGCGTCAGGGGGCTCTGGGGCCTACGTCCAAGAAGTCAAGACCCGTGGCCAACATACGGCTCTGTAATCCCACCCAGAAGCACATGAGGAGGGGGCTCCGCGCACCCCGCGATAGCCACACACCGCCCACCTTGTTGCGTGCCGCTGCCCCTTTAAGAGCACGGCGTGGGCGTGGCCGAGACGGGGCGGAGTGGGCGTGGCTGTGCGGGTGACGTCATCGCGCCCATTGATAAAGCCGGGCGGGATCCCCGGCGCGGCAACGACAGCGCGCGGTGGCGGCGGGGCCACGTGTACGGGGCGCGGCGGTGGCGGAGGAGCAGCCATGGAGAACGCCGGCCTCTTCCCCCCGCTCCTCGCCACCTGCCTCCCCGCACAGCCCGCTCCCACCCCGGCACCGCCGTCGGCCCGGCCGGCCGAGCCCACCCGCATCATCACAGACCCGCTCTCCGGCCGCTCCTACTGCAAGGGCCGCCTGCTGGGAAAGGTACCGATCGGGGAGGAGGGGGTCGTGGAGGGATGTGCGGTAATTCGTTGCGGCCGGAAGCCACCGCCCGGTTCGGAGGGAGAGGGCTGAGCGAGGCCCCTCCGTTTAGAGCTCCGGGAGCGGTGGATCGGCCGGGCCGGCTCGGCCCCCGCCTATCTATCGCAGCGCACATCGGTTTCGGGTCGCCCCGCGGGGCCGTGCGTGGGCCGCCAGTTCCCACCCCGCTTCCCAGGGCCGCTGCGGCTCACGCAACTTTTCCTCCCGCTGCGAGGCGTGTGTGGGAGGCGGCTGCCTGTTCCCGGCCCGGCCCGGCAGCTGAGTGTGCAGATTCGGGGCTGACATCACGGCAGGAAAAACCTGTCTCCGGCGTGCCGCTCTCGGTAGCCTCCGTTCCCCCTTGCCCTGCGTAGGGCTTTCCGGGTGAGCCGTCATCCAGAAAGAATCTGGAGTTCGGTAATGGTGGGAGCACAAACGCGGTGGAGGTTTTACAGGAACTGAGTTGAGAAAATCCCTATTTGAGAGCATCGCAGTTCAGATCTTAGTGAGTGAGCCAGCAGTGAGAAGGAGGAAGGCTGCCTCTCACCCATCCTTGCATGTCTTTCCTCTTGTAGGGCGGCTTTGCACGATGCTATGAGATGACGGACCTCTCCAGCAACAAAACCTATGCCGTGAAGGTCATCCCTCACAGCCGGGTGGCTAAACCCCACCAACGGGAGAAGGTGAGTGTTGGCCCCAGTGGGGAGCTGGGGTTGTGTTGAGGTTGCCCTGCATTGTTCACCTCTGCTGCTCCCTTCCAGATCACCAATGAGATTGAGCTGCACCGTGACCTGCACCACAAGCACATCGTCAAGTTCTCCCACTATTTTGAGGATGCGGAGAGCATCTACATCTTCTTGGAGCACTGCAGTCGGAAGGTAAGGGCTGTAGCAGTCCCCATGTTCTGGGTCCTGAGATGCCATGTTAATGCTCTGCTTCTTTAACACTCTATCACCCACCTGAGCCAACCCTGCCTGGTTGCACTGTGTGTTTCTCTATGGCACTGGGAGCCCCAGTATGGCCCCACAAATCCAGGAGCACCCCTGGTAGTGCTGAGCAGCCTCAACCTTGCAAAGAGCAAGGTTGAGTGATCCTAAGACAGTGACTGTGCAATTCCTGAACTGCCCCTTCCTGCTCCTTGTGCCCCCCCCCATCGCCGTGCTGACTTCTTTTTCCCTCTGCAGTCACTGGCCCACATCTGGAAGGCCCGCCACACTCTGCTGGAGCCTGAAGTGCGCTATTACCTCAAACAAATCATCTCAGGCCTCAAATATCTCCACCTCAAGGGCATACTGCACCGGGACCTCAAGTTGGGTGAGTGGCACGGCGGGGATGGAATAGTTCAGGGCTGCTCTGAAGGGGCCAGCAGCGATACACTGCCTTTGTCTCGCAGGCAACTTCTTCATCAATGAGAACATGGAGCTGAAAGTGGGGGACTTTGGTCTGGCTGCGTACCAGGATGCCTCTGACCAAAAGAAGAAGCAAGTCTGGGGTTTCTGTCATCTTCCTATGGCTCCCTGGGCTATGGGGTAGGGGCAGCCTCATGGCCCCAGCTGCAGACAAGGAGAGGGGGCTGGGGGCTTTTGTGGCTTCTCCAGAGCGTGCCTGCAGCCTGCAGGGAGAACAATGCGCTCGCTATGGCCATTGTGCTGGCCGGGTGCACAGGCTGGGACACAAAGGCCCTGTTCCGTGCTGTGTCTAGGACAAGTTATTCCCTGCAGCTTGCTAGGAGCAGCTGCTGCTGAGCCCTGGGAGCTGGGGGGAGCTCATAGTCGGGGGTGGGGGTTGGAAACAGGCTGCCAGCTGGATCTCCCACTCAAGGAAGTGGGAAGATGAGAGCAAGCTCTTGACCCAGTGTCTGCCCACAGGACAATATGTGGGACCCCCAACTACCTGGCCCCTGAGGTGCTGTTGCGGCAAGGGCACGGCCCCGAGTCGGATGTATGGTCGCTGGGCTGTGTCATGTAAGTGCATGGGGAAGGGGCAGGCAGGGCTCTGGGGTGCCCCAAGGAGGAGGTCCCATGGCATTTTTGCCTTTCTCAAAAGACAAGAGGGAGGAGAGGACCCTGCTTTGTGACAGTGCTTGGGGGCTGAGAGCTGCAGGCAGCAGGCTGTGCTGTGCTGAGCTCTGCTGCAGGGTGTTCGTCACACTCCGAGTGTCGTAAACAACGGAAAGTATTGGTGGTTGGCAGCAGCTGCTGGCTTGTTTGTATGGGGAACGATCACCTCAGTGACTCGAGCCCTTCACAGCCCGCAGGCTTCCTGCACACTTTCCGCTGCGGGGCAGGGCAGCAGAGCTGTCCCCAGCCCCCATGTTCCTCGCCTGTTGCCCCAAACAGTCACTAGGAGGGAGCGTGGCCGGATGTGCCCAGGCTGGAAGTAGTGTTCCCAGCCCGGTGTGGCAACTGAACGCCATAATTTCCTTGCTCCAAGTGCTGCTGAGTCACAAACCCAGAGGGAGGATGACAGTGGCACGTGTGTCCCTCCCAGGTACACCTTGCTGTGTGGGAACCCTCCCTTTGAGACCCTGGACCTGAAGGAGACCTATAGGTACATCAAGCAAGTGGACTATATCCTGCCCACCTTCCTCTCGCTGCCTGCCAGGCACCTCATTGCTGGCATCCTCAAGCGCAATCCCCAGGACCGCCTCACACTTGATGAGATTCTGGACCATGAGTTCTTCAAGGTGAGTATGAAGGACCCTGCATGAGGCTTTGGGGCTGGGCTGCTGCTGGCATGGAGTTTGGGGTGATGTCCTTGAGTGCCTATTAAGAAACAAAGCAACTGCTGTGCTACGCAAATGCCAGCAGAGGATTCAAGGGATCTGCTGTGCTCCCTGCTGCCCTATCCCACAGGATATCCCATAGAGCTGATACCTAATGCCAGGCCCGGAGCCAAGGATGGTCGGAAATGCAAGCTGCTGTCAGGAGGGCTGTGGTCAGCCCAGGGCAGTTTCAGCCCAGGGCAGTTGCTTCATACGGGTTATGGAAATCAACCCTCTGCTATGACCTCCCTGCAGGGTTACACACCCGAGAAGCTCCCTCCCAGCAGCTGCGTGATGGCTCCAGAGCTGTGTGCCCCCAACCCAGCCAAGAGTCTGTTTGCTAAAGTCACCAAGACGCTCTTTAGGAAGAAGAAACCAAAGGGTGAGTGTATGTGAAAGCCTCCAGATGACCCTTTTCCCCATGGAGATGTATGTCCTGTTCTCTAGAGAGTCTTAGGATGGGTCTCTGTTCCCCTACCTGGGGTCAGCACCTGCTGGCTTATCCCTGCCCTTCTGGTGCTGGTGGCCTGCTGGGGTGTGCACCCAGTGAGCAGATAATGTGCTGCAACCCATGGGGCAGTTCCTCCTGGGCAGCCTGTGCCCCATGAGAATGGGGAAGTGAAAGTGGGAGGCAGCAGCCTGACACCATCCTCACCCCATGGGCTGTGCTATGGGGAGGGGTGGCCCAAATATCCCTATTCCTTGTGATACACTCATGGTGTGCTCTCTCCTCAGCCAAGAAAGGCTCTCTGGAAGACAAGGATGATATCTCCAAGCTGGTCACTGGGCTGGTGAAGACATCCATCTGCCGGCAGATGAGCTGCAAGGCAGTGGAGGGGAATGAGGTAAGAGCAACCCTGGGTTCCTTCACACTCCTGGAGGGAGTCAGCAGCATGGTGCTAACATTGGGTTTTCTCCAGGCCACTCCTGTGTCCTGCCGTAGTGCTGGCTCCAGCCCTGTGGAGACACTGGTGGAAGAGACGTCCCACAAGTCCACATCCCCCTCTGTCCGTGGGACCATGGCCAGCAGCTGTGAGGGTGAGCAGCTCCTCCCTGTCCCAGCATGGGCTTCCTGCCCTGCCCTGACTGATAGCGGGGCCAGCTGACTCACAGCTTGTCATCTTCCATCTGTAGCCTTTGAAGACTGCATCACCACCTCTGCCATCATTGAGTCTGCTGTGCAGCTCTTGCGCACCTGCCTCTCCTGCATGCCTCCAGGTAAACCTGCTGAGCTAGTGGGATGCAGGCATGGGTGCTGCTTTGGGTGCCTGACCCTAAGGCAAGGAGCTGGAGAGGGGTTGCCTGCTCTGCTCACTCTGTTCTTCTCTACCAGCGGAGAGAAACCCGGCTTCCCTGGCCCGACATGAACAGTTTGTCTGGGTGAGCAAGTGGGTGGACTACTCCAACAAGTATGGCTTTGGCTACCAGCTCTCCAACCACAGCATTGGGGTCCTCTTCAACAATGGCACACACATGATGCTGTCCCCCAACCACAAGTAAGCGGTGCCCTTGTGGGTAGGCGGGGATGGGGGAAGGCTGTGCCTAGGGTGGTTTGGTGCTGGGTGGCCTTGAAACTCATGTTCTGCTTTCCACAGGACAGTGCATTACAACCCAACCAACAGCAAGCACTTTGCATTCCCTGTGTCCGCTGTCCCTGAGCAGCTGCGTGGACAGATGAGTGTCTTGCGCTATTTTGCATCCTATATGGAGCAGCATCTCATGAAGGTGAGTGCTGAGATGCTGGGTTGGACACTGGGACATGACTGTGCCATGTGAGTTTGGCCAGGTGGGCTCCTACGGGGCTATGTCCTGTTAGCAGAGACCCCAGTGGGTGTTTGCTGTGATTTGGCCATGCACACCCTGGTGACAGTATGCCTTATGCAGATGTTTCTCTCGAAGGGAGGTGACTTGCCTAGCATAGATGACCTTGGACAGCCAGCCCTGCTCCTCCTGCAGTGGGTGAAGACTGACCAGGCCTTACTCATGCTTTTTAGCAATGGCACCCTACAGGTATGTGCAGCAGGGATGCCCCAGCCCTTATGGGGGGAAAAAGCCAGCCCGGGACTCCTGCAGCCTGTATACAGAGACCCATCTGGGTGTGAGATGCTGCTCTGGTGTCACAGCCCATCCAGTCCCCTGGGAGGCATGACGCTTTGATCAGGTGCCCCAGTCCCAGTGCATTCCTGATGTGGGGCTGCTCCTGGGCAGGTTGGGGAGGAGGAGCAGGTTGAGGCAGGAAGTGTGGTGGGAGCTGGGATGCAGCTATGCTGCAGGAGGTGTGAGCTAAACCGATCCCACCTGTCTCCCAGGTGAACTTCTACAATGACCACACCAAGGTGATCATCAGCAAGCCTGACCATTCATGCCTTGTCACCTACATCAACCGGGAGCGTAACTCCTACACCTACAAGCTGTGCAGCATCCAAGAGCTGGGCTGTTCACCTGAGCTCCAGCACTGCCTCCGATACATCCTCAAGCTCCTCCAGGAGTGGGCTGATGCCTAGCATGGGGCTTTGGAGACCTTCTCAGGACGTAGAGGGTCTCCTCTTGCCCTCCCATGGGATGGGAGGTGTTGTGGTGCTCAGCTGGACTCTGATCTAAGACATGTGGATGTGGTCCTGGCAGTGGGTCTGGACATCTATGCTGCTCCCTGGCTGTAGGCAATCACTGTCTTTCCTTCTGCATGGCCATGAGCTCAAGGCTTGGTGCTGCAGGGTAGAGAGGATGTCCTCCAAGGCGATGTAGGGCAATGCCTGCTTTGCCAGGGCTGCATGGATTGACTTGTGCCATTCCACAACCCCTACACTAGGGAGGGGGCTGAGCTGGGCTCCGGCTGCCCCCCAGTTCTGAATTGTCTGGTACAACTTGAGGTTTGGTAGAGAGCAGGGGAAGGGATCTGTGGGCTTGCCTCAAGAAGCCCTTGTATAGCTGTAAGCTAAGGACAGGTTTCCTGTTTCAAGGCAGTCTCTGCCAGGTGGGATTATTTATGCGTCTTATTTATATGGAATTTATTTATTTTCTTCTTGATCTGTCCATGTGCAGCTCCCCTGTCCCTGACTTACCTCATTAAAACCTTATTTGTGTAAAGGCAATCTGTTCTCATATTGTTTAGTGTTGGGTTTTAGGTCATAAAATGTTTGTGGTTTCTCAAGGCTGTGGAGCAGAGCATCCAGGGCTGCTTCTGGTGAGCTTAGTACTGTCAAGGTGAGGGAACTGAAGGTGGTGGGAGGAGGGGAGGGGACAGGTGATGGGATCTGGTAGAGTGTCTGGATGCTGAGGTAGGGACTGGAAGGAAGACTGAGGAACACTGCCTCTTGCTGATACGTGATCCCCCATTGTATCAGTTCTGGGGAAAGCTGGGGGAGTGACTCCCAGCTGAAGGCTGTGGTATGTTCTGCACTGCCTGATGCAATGGGATGTGAGCTGGGAGTGAAGCCAGGAAAGAGGAGGGACTTAATCCTGCTCTGCAGCCTTGCTTTGAACATGATCTGTCACCTCCTGCTGCCATCTCTTCCTGGGAGCAGCCTGCAGTGTGGGAAAGGATATGGCCTCCCAGGGCACAGCTCTAGGCTGCTGCCTGCACTGACCTCTGGGAAAAGGAAGCGGAAACCAAATTTGGAGTTCTTTCCTGCAGTTTGGGTTGTTTTGAAAGGTATGATGGTGAAGGCTGTGGTGTGCCTACCAAACCCTGAGGCACCAAAGCATCTCTGCCTGTGCCATCATTGGATCTATGCAGTAAAAGTCAGACCTGATGCAAAGTTTTTATTTGCACTAGCCCTATAGGGCTGCAGGTTGAGCTCAGGTCAGGGAAGGTGACCTCTACTCAAAGTAAACCCCATGCACTGTGGCAACAGCAAAGAGTGAGGCATTGCTGAAAGAAGCAGAGGCAAAGCTATCACTTTCAGGGTCCCAAAGTGCCTGGCTGGCCACCAGCATGCTCTGCTGGCGGTGCTGGCCCAGCAGCACATGGCACACCAGCTTGTAGCGGGGTGGCACCACCTCCTTTGCCTGGCCCCGCAGCAGCTCAGCCAGGCTCTGCACCAGCACCGTGCTGCTCTGGGGGCTGTAGGTTGTGCCTCCCAGCACCCCGGCTAGGCCTCCCTCCAGCACCCGCTGCACCCGCCCTGCGTTGAACCTGCAGCCTTCCTCTGGCCTCATCCTGTAGGTGTTTTCCAGGTGGGTCTCTGGGATGGGTTGGAAAAGTGGGAGCCCTGAGAAACTCACACGGCTGTGGAGGAGCCAGGGCCCCACGGAGGGTCTCTTTCCCCCTGGAGCTGCCCCCAGGGAGCTGCGGCGGCTGCCTGGGGGGCCTGCCAGGGTGCTGAGCATGGAGCTGCGGCGGGAGAGCAGCTGTGGGGCTTTGCCTTCCTCTGGGCCCCGGCTTGGGGCTGTGGGGTGGGAGCCACGGTGAATGGCTCGGGGATGAGGGGTTTCAGTGCCATCTGCAGCCATCACCCCCGTCACCCGTGTGGATGGTGCCAGTTCCAGGGATGGCTGCTCAGCCATACAGGCGGTCTGGAGGGGAGAAAAATCTCTGAGACCTTTGCCCTGGGCAAGCAGCCCCTCCTCCAACCCCCCCTGAATCCTCTGCTCCCACTCACCCCTCAGCTGCCCAGAACCCACCTCTCCCCTGGGTTGCAGCTTGTTGAGCTCCTGAAGCGAGAAGGGTTGCTACGTGACGCTGAAACTCCCCGTGGCTCTGTAACTCTTTGTTTCCTGCTGCCTGCGCAGCCCCATTGTCCTATTTCCCCCACAGCTCACTGCCAGCTGCAGCCTGGACAGCAGCCAGACTAGGGACATAGCGCCCTGTGATACAGGCTTCTCTTCTTGGACACCCCGAAAAACACCTTGTGAGCATCTTGTGAGCATCCACTGCAATGGATAGAGCAAAGCTGTGTGAACTCTGCTGGGAGCTGCACGAAGGTTTGATGTTTTTCTCCCAGATACCATCCCCAAGCACCACTTCTCCCAGGACTCCCAGGCCTGGGCACCCACTGAGCACAGTGATGGGGCAGCCAAGCCCCATGTTGTGCCGGGGGTCCTGCTGCATGGGTCATGCCCCAAGCTGGGACAGCTCTGCCTGGAACCCAAGTGGAGTTTTCTCCCTGCATGGAGCCCAGCCCTGCTGGTACTCCCCAGCTGCCCCATCAATGCGCCTTTGTCTGCCTTGACTGCAGATCTATTTGGGGAAAGTGGAGACGGCCTTTGTGTATCTATCTGCTGCTGAAGGTATTTATAGCTTGCTGCTGGCTCGTGCTGCCAAGCATGCCGGCAGCTGGACTCTGCTCCTGGGAGTCTGGCTGTCCTTTCCTTCCACCCGTATCCACCACTTTCCTATGCAGACCCAAGGGCTGCAGAGCAGCTCAAGGGTGGGCTTCCCCGCTTCCCTCCCCTCTACTCGGCCCCAGTGCCTCTCGCAGCCCAGCTGCCCGCCTGCCTGTTTCCCTAGCAATGGGCTGTGACGCTGCGGCCTCCTCCTCAGGCCTGCCTCCTCCCCGCCTTCCTCCTCCGCTGTCCTCCCCATGGCCCGCTCCTGCTCGGCCCGGCTGCACGGCGAGGCGGCCGCGTTCACCGCTGCCCTCCGCTCCCTGGTCAACAACCCCCAGTTCAGGTGAGGGGGAAGGCTGGGGGCTGCCATCTTCCCCTCCAGCACGCTGCGGCCTTCCTGGGAGGCTCCCGGCAGCCTATGGGATGTGCATGGCTTCCGTGCGGCTTTTGTGCTGTTCCCACCTCCTGTATCTGCTCCTTCTCCATCCTGGCTTCAGCCGTGCTTCCTATTGCTATCTCTGCTGATGCCTCATGGCCACAGGGCAGGGGACAGCCCCATGGGGGCCCTGGCAGTTCCTGCCAGGAGCAGAGCTGGGTGGTCAACTTCTGTGGTCCCCTTTGCCCGTCTCGTGCCGAAGCCTGGCAGAAACATCAGCGTTATCACAGGAACTCCTCTGTTGGCCACCCAGAGAAGAAATCCCAGCGAAAACCCCACAGACTCCAGTGCCAGGGAAGTTGCTGTGAGGTTCTGGCCATTCTCAGATCACATCCTCCACCATGCATCCTCCAGCTTTAGTACTGTGTTCTGCGACCGGAAATTTGCGCTTTGCATCTACCAGCCTTCCTTCTGCATCCTGCAACCAAAGGTCTGCACCCTGCACCTGCCAACCTTCCTCCTGCAACCCAAAATCTGCACCCTGTGCTTGCTGACCTCTGTCCTGCACACAGATGTACTCTGTGGTTTGTAACCTCCATCTCACAGCCTACACCCCACTTTCCATTTCCTCCTTCTTGCCCCATGCACTGCAACCATGGAGTTTATTCAGTCCACTTTGCTGTTGGGTTTATGGAGGACTCATAGGGCTCTGCTCACATCTCCAGACCTGGGATGGACCAGGTGTCCTCAGCTGCAGTGGGTCACCATGAAGGACAGATTTGCTGCCCTACTGGGACTGGAGAAGAGCAGAACAGGGGATGAGGAGACAACAGGACTGTAGCCAGCACAATTGCACAAAGACCGTGGGGTTGGGGAAACCAGGGAGGCAGTGGGACCCCACGCTCTACAATAAATCCACCGTCCTGTGCCCTGTCCCAGCCCTGGGGTTGTGTCCTCCCTGTCCTTCATGATCCCCTCTCCCCAGCAGTGATGTGACATTCGTGGTGGGCCGGGAGAAGCAGCAGGTGTTTGCACATCGCTGTGTGCTGGCATGCCGCTGCCAGGCATTCCGAGGGATGCTGACGAGCAACGAGGATCCCCTCAGCAGTGTCCCACCCCAGGGGCCCTTCATCCTGGGCAATGTGCAGCCAGAAGTCTTCCTAGCTGTCATTGAGTTCCTCTACACTAACAGCGTCACCCTCAATAGCCATACTGTGAGTGGGGGGGGGGGGGGGGGGGGGGGGGGGGGGGGGGGGCATGGGGAAATTAATGGGTGGAGGGGAACTTTGTTGCTCCTAGGGATGGGATGGTCATCTGTGTAATGAGTGTGTGGAGCCTCAGCACACCACTGTGGGGTGTCAAGATACCATGTTCCCCAGGTGCCTTGGAATGACCATGAGTGTGGGACAGGGATAGCAGAGAGGGGGAGCACCATTTTTGTTCTATCTTGCAGCAGCTCCTCTCCCATACATTCCTAGCCCAGAACTTTCATAGAGAAAGGGGGATGAATCCCCATGGTCCCTGAGCTGCTATGCCCAGTGTGTGTGCATGTGTGTGTGTATGTGTATATATATATATATATATATAAAATATAAATTTTACACATGTATATGTGTTGGTATATCAGGAAAACATTCTGCAACAGAGGGCAATGGGCATAGAACAGGCTCCCCATGGCAGTGGTCATGGCCCTTTGCTGCCAGAGTTCAAGGGACATTTGGACAGTACTCTTAGATGTAGAATTTGAGTGGTCTGCTGTGGAGCCAGGAGTTGGCTTCTGATCCTTGCGAGTCCCTTCCAGCTTGGGATATTCTGTGATCCTATAGGTGCTGGAGGTGCTGACCTCATCTGTGGAGTATGGCCTGCAGGACCTGTGCAAGGTATGACCCTGTTTAGACCTGGAGTAGTGAGTCCTCTATGCCCCTATGCTGAAGAGGACCCCAGTACAGCCAGAGCTGGGGAAATCCCATGGTAGGACACAGGATCACATATCTCCCACCCCACGAAGGGCAGTAGGAAAGCCCCAATATCCTCGGGTGCTTTCTGGCTGTGTCAGGACAATGCTGTTGGGAAAGTCCCACTCGGGGGACCATTGGGCACCCTTTGGGGCTGCTGTGGGCTGGGAGGCCTTGGGGAAAATGGAGTGGTGGGAGCTGTTGGGCTCCATTAGGGATGCAGTCAGGCAGATGGATGGGAAGCGGGACAAGGGGAGGGAGCCCTTTGGGCAGCTGGGACGCGTCACCAGAGCCATTCCTGAACTACAGCTGGGCCTATCGCATGACCTGCACCTCACACCCGGACTTCCCCTCCCTCAGCAGCACAGTGGGGAAGGAGCTTGTTGAGGATGTGAGAGCTGCCACAGCAGCCCCACGTCTCACTAGGACACGCTCAGCAAGATCCCAGCTGTGGCACCAGGTGGGCAGAAGTGTGAGGTGTAGAGCTGGGGGGTTTGCAATCATCCAGCAAGGGCATCCCCAGAGCAATTGCCTTCATCAATAGATATGTGTGAAGGTAGGGATCAAGTGATCAAGTGACAGCTGGGGAAGCCCCTGGCTCTGTCCCCAGCTGCAGGGTGACTCAGGGCCCTTCTGCTCCAGCAGATGGCTCCTCCCCACAGATCGTATCACTTTGGGTTTCCCAGGGCCTCGCCCTGCCTCTGTCCCCACATGGCTTATGTCTCTATGTGGGAGGCATCTGGGGTGGGCAGGAGGGAGTCCCCCTGGTTGTGTCCCAACTGCATTTGGGCTGAAGCCACAGATGCTCCTCTCCAAGCAGGGAGAGCTGGGGTCACCCAGCATTCACAGCTGGGGACATCGACAGTGTCCTCATGGCAGTACTGCATCACAGCCAGAGTTGGGCAACCTTCCCCAGGATATGCAGTTGGCCTGAGTTTGATCATCACAGGTTCTCACACAGCGGAATCTCTGCCCACATGCTCTGCCACAAACCCTCTCCCCTTATCCCACCCCATCCCATACGTAACAGAACCCTGTGGGGCTGGAGGCACCTCCACCCCCTATCCAATGTCCTGCGTCTGGGGGCCTGAGGGGATACTGAGCATCATGGGGATGGTGGTGGGGTCCCCTGCTCTGCCCACCCACTCTCTCTCATTCACCTTGCAGCTCTGTGTGGAGTTCATTAAGGACACACTGTGTGTGGAGCAGGTCTGTGAGGCCCTGCAGGTAAGTGGCACCTGGCTCTGATGTGGTCAGCGGGGATGGTGCTCAGGTCCCCTGTGTGGACAATGGGCCATCTGCAGGGTGAGGATCAACCTGGGGTGCTGGGGAAAAACCAGTGACAACTTCCCAAGGAGCGTCACAGAGTAAAAATAACTCTGCTATTTTGGGGTCTGAGTTGGCTGATGGGGCAGGATTTCCCTCTCCTTCCACTTGGCAGCTGTCCTGTCCCTTGGGGACGTCACACTGGAGTGGGCCACCACAGCCCCAGGACAGTGATCCCCTCCACAGGGCCAGATAGAATTCCCCAGGATGGATTTTGGGGCCGTTTCCCAAAACTCTGCTGAGACTTCTGCCACTCAGAAGTAGTTGGGAGGCCCTGTGACTGCTTGGTGGGACTGCTGCCTCATGCTCCTATGGCAACAGTGGGAGATGATATATATACCCCATGAACTCAAGACTGACCCTACAGCCATGACCAAAGTAATGCCCCTGGGTGAGATGATGGCCCTGGTGAGCAGAAGCTCCCATCCCACGTGGTACCTGACCACCACGGCGTAAACAGAGCTAAACTGGGCTCAGAGGAAAGAATCAGAAAACCCCAAAACCCCAGAACAAAACAAACCTGAAGTAAACATCTCGCTCTGCCCTACTGGCTTGTATTAGTTCCAGTCCCAGTCAAGGCCGTGGGGGAGGTGACACTGTGAGATCCCTTGTACCCCACATGCACAGGCTGTCTCTGCAAGGGGATGAGGGCATGTTGTGATGACCTGAGAAGGGTACAACAATGGGCAGAGCTAGCCTAGGGGTAAGTTTCTCTCTGGGAGAGGATAGAAGACCCCCCAGATTCCTTTTGCAGCAGGAATGGTGACTACAGGGCAGGCTGTGTGGTGGCACATGGGGTACACCTCAGAGGGCTGTGTGCCAACCTTGTGTCTAGGTGAGAAAAGATAACAAGGGCAACCTCATGTCCACCCAGAGCCTGGTGATGTTTCTGAGTGGCTGTGGGAGCTTGGGTGTTTCTGCTTATAACTGGGGCTCGCTGGAGCCACCCAACTCTTTGCCATGGGCTGGCTAAGAGTTGGTGCCCTGCCCCGTGTGCTGGCACCATACGGTCCCTGAGAGTACCTCAGGTCTGGCAGCATGGGGAGGACTCTTGATAGGGCTTTGGGAGGGGTCCCTCCTGCCCTGGGGGCCCTCACAGGTGTCCCTGATGTTCCACAGGCTGCAGTGACCTATGGGCAAGCAGATCTCCAGAAGCACTGCCTGGCGTTCATTGAGAGCTACACCATGGTATGGTACAGGGAGAAACAGGGAGCAAATGGGGACACAGTGTGGGGCAGGGGAGTGGGGCCATGAGAATGGTGGTACTGGGGCTGGGGAGGAAATGTTTTTTTTGAGAGAAGGTGCTGGAAGCCAGGCTGGGGATGGCCTGGGGGAGGTCCTGGGGTACCAGGCAGGGTAGGTGCAAGGGCTGTAGTGGGTACTGGTTTAAGTAGTGCACTCGCAGGCGGTGCTGCAGACACGGGGCTTCCATGAGCTCTCTGACACGGTGCTGGCACGGGTGCTGCGCAGTGACCACCTGGCTGCAGATGAGCTGGACCTGGTGCAAGCTGTGCGGGAGTGGGCGCACGTCAGTTCAGTGAGTACAACATGGGGGGGGGGGGTGCCCTCCCAAAACCCCCTAGTGTCTGCTCCATCTATCCATCCCTAATGTCCCACAGGCCGTCCTGGAGCGCCCCGTACCTGAGGTGGCTGCTCTGCCCGTGCAGGAGCTGCGCCTGCCCTTGCTGGCACCTAACGAGCTGGCAATGCTGGAGAGCCAAAATCAGCACGACCTGCTCATCCCAGTGAGTTGTGGGGTGCCCCGTTGTTTCTTGGGGATGTCATGGGGCTGGTTTGGGATACCCACACTGTTGTCCCTATCTGGGCAGGTCGATAGCATTGCAGCAGCCTGGAGATCCCATGCGCTGCGGTGTGGAAGCGGGATGCCCTCCCACCTCTGTCGGCCTCGGCAGGGCACGCGGCCCCGCAACCATCACCGCCACCTGGACCCACAGAGCAAGTAGGGGCTGCGTCTCCCTCCTGCCCCCCCCCGGAGCAGCAGTGCCCCCTGCGAGGTGCTGAGCACTCCTCTTGCCAGATGAGGGGCAGGATAGGAGGATCATCCCGGTGCGGGGCTGCGGGGCATCCGAAGGATGGGATGGGGGCACAGGATGAGCCCCCATTCAACCTTATCCCAGCCAGATCCCGTCCTTCTCTGAGGCGGTGCTGCCCTCCGCTGGGAGCAGGGCTGCGCTACAGGAGCGCACCAGGGCCCCCGCCTGGCAGAGATGAAGGGGCTCAGCAGGGCATGAGGCAGTTCCCAGACTCGAGCCCAGCACTGCCAACACAGAGCAAAATCCCCATCACCACCCCCGCCCCTCTTTGCACAGCCCATTGCACGCACAGCTGTGTATATCTCATCCCACCCCCGGAGTTGTGCCCCCCAGGAGACAGGGTCAGACACAGCGGATAATTTATATATAATATATATATTTACTCTTTAAAAATAAACCTTCAGTCCCCACTACCGCCTGTACAAACTACAAAAATAAACCTTTGCTCTCTTTGATATAAATAACTTAGATGGCGTGGTTGGGGGAAGAGGGGGAGGAGGTGGGGGGGGGCTGCCCACCGTGCCCACGCCTGGCACGGGGACGAGGACCCCAGGCCACCCCAGCACAGCGGCAGTGTCAGGGGGCCAGGGCAGTGGGCACAGCAACACCGCTGGAGTTAAAGTGCTGGGTAACGGCATGGACAGTGCCCGGGATGGGGAGGGGAGTTGGCAGGGGGAAATGGCTCCATTGCATGGGCAGGGGGCAAGAAAGTTGCTTTCCCAGCTGGATGAGCCCAATGGCAGTGTGGGTGCCCTACACAGGGCTGAGCTGTGACTGTGGGACATCGCAGGGGCTTGGCACAGTAAGGAGCACCCCAAGAACCCCTTCTCCCCCCCCAAATCCTGCCTATGTGCTGGCAGCAATAGGCTCCCCAGCACATCCCCCAGCTCCGTCCCTCCTGTGCTCACTGGTAGGGAAACTGAGGCACAGAGAGGATGGGGGAACATGGGGCAGCCCCTCGCTACCCCACCCCAAGCAGCCTGACAAGGCCCTCGGCTGAGAAATAAATCTTTTAAAATAAGCTTAAAAATATATATCTCTCTATAGATAGTTTCCCTTTGCAAATAAATAAAGGTGGGGGATGCCTACCCTGGGCCTTGCCCACAGCTCTGGGGCACCTGCCTAATCGGGCAGGGGGACACCAGGGGCAAGGCAGCCCAGCAGGTGGCCGGGGGGGGTCCCAGGAGGACGGGGAGCAGGCAGTGGCCCCATGAAGGGAGGTGGCAGGGCAGAGGGCTGGGCGCTGCGCCCCTGTGCCAGCAGCTCCAGAAACAGAGGGGGAGTTAGTGCTTCCATTTCTGGGGGGCACAGGCACAGGGTGACCCCAAGGCACATGGGGAGACACCGCCCTGTTGACACAGCGTGGCCTGCACACAGCTTGCATAGGAATGCCAGCCTGCCCTGTCAAGCCTGGGTGTGGGGCCGTGGGGGGCCGATCCTCTTCGGCTGAGACCGGAGCATCGCCACGGGGGCGATTAGCAGCACAACACGGGCGAGCCCGCTCTGCACCCTCTGTGCCACGCTGGGAGTTGCCAGCCTGGGTTCCATCCACGGAGCTGGTGACCTGTGGGGAGACAACGGGGGTTCAGCTGGATCCCCCAAACCCGAACTGTATCCCTATGCTATGCAACAGCACCTGTACCCAGTAGTGCTGCTGCAGCATTAAGCCACTGTTTGGGCAGCTGGCACCATGGACAAGGATAGGACATGGGCATCGTGCCCCCAGCTCACCTAGCGCCGGGTGCCTGCCCCGTGGCGTCCCAGGCTTTGCATCTCGAAGGAGTCAGGCATGGTGCTGGGCTCCTCCACACTGTCCGTTTCGGTGCCAAAACTGGGGTAGGAGCCAGGCAGCGTGGGGTGCAGGGCCACCGTCACTGAAGCAGTGGCTGTGACTGTGGTGTAGCTGCCAGCAGGGCCCTGCAGGTGGGTGCTGTAGGCTGGCAGGGGGGCCCGAGGGGCTGGCCAGGCGCTGGAGGAGCAGGGCTGACCCGGCCGAGGCAGTGCTGTGGGGTGCGGGTAGTCTCTGGACAGTGTGGGGCACGGCTCCCCGAAAGGCAATGAAGATGCAGGCTGGGGGATGGGCTGCTCCTTCTTCCCCTGGACCTCTGGGCTGTCCTTGTAGGGCTTCAGCACCTAAGGAGGAGCGAGGTGGGGGTGGCTGAGCATCCCTCTGGCACCACCCTGCCAACCCCCACATCCCCACCCCTCAACTCCATCCGACCACCACAAACTCACAGTGATGCGGGGGAAGCTGGGGTCCTTGCCAGCCTCCAGTAGAATGTGTGCCGGGGCAGGTGGCACAATAAAGGGTCCCTGGGGGCTGCCTGGCCCCACACTGTCGCCATAGCACTCTGTGTCTGAGGTATCAGTGAAGGCAGCGGGCCAGGCAGGGGCACGGCGGATGTACAGACCCCCAGGGCATGGAGGCACTGGCTCTGTAGGGGGCAGGCGGGGGCCATTATCCACAGGAGATGCCTGTGGAGAGAAGAGATAGTGTAAGGGGTGTCAGTGACACACAGGGATGGGGTGAAGCAGGGATGGGACAACTGGATATGGGGCAAAGAAGCAACAGGGTAAAGCAAGAGTGATGGCTTAGGTGAGGGGTTAAGGCTGAGGTAGGTGTGTGTGGGATGACGTCAGGACTGGGTTAGGCAGGGATGGATGTAGGGTGAAAGTAGGGCACAGAGCAATGGGATATTAGGACAGGTGGGCATGGGATGGGAGTCATACCTCAGAGGGTGGCCCGATGACTGATAGCAGGACAGGCAGCAGCACCAACCCATTGAGCAGCCCCAGGAGTGTCAGGATGGTGAGCACCGCAAAGAAGTACCTGCAAGTAGGGTAGGCAGAGGGCTGAGTGGGCTCACTGCCCCCACCAGCCCCACTGTGACCCAGCACTGCCAGATGGGGTGCCCAGCCCTCACCTCATGATGAAGTCGAACTCAGAGCTGGCCAACATGAGGACGCCCAGGAGGGTAGAGACAGCACCGTCCATCACAGGGGCAAAGGTGTGCTCCAAGGCGGCAGCTGAGCGCACGTTCCTGCTCCCAACTGCTGTAAGGAAGCCCTGCAGAAGGTGGGAGGATTACGGAGAGCTCATTCCCGTGGGGTGAGGGGGTCACTGGGTAAAGGGGTGGAATTGGGGTGCCCCATGGGCAGGCAGGGGTCTACCATTGCTCACCAGGGCCACGTGGACAGTGAACTCCACGCCAATGCCAACTGAAGCGATGAGGATGACGACAGGGATGGCACTCAGCTTGATGCCCATCAGCCCCATAATGCCGAACAGTTCCACCGCCATCATGGCCAGGATGGAGACCTGGGAGCAGAGGGGTCAGTGAAGGGGGGCTCCCATGCACACCATGCCCAACTCAAACCATAATAGGATGATTGTATTCTCAACCTATTGTCCCTTTCTGCTCTATGTGGGGTGTCTCTTTTTCCATCTATTGGGTGATGCTCTCCATCCCCTTCATAAGGAGTATCTTTACAAATCAGGGTAGATGTGGCACTGAGTGGCATATTTAGTGGGCATGGTGGGGATGGGTTGACGGTTGGACTAGATGATCTTAGTGGTCTTTTCCAACCTCAATGATTCTATGATTTTATTCCCAGTTCCCACTACAGGTGTCCTCCACCCACCACCACCTCCATACGGGCATCCATCCCCAAGAAGCAAGTACCCAGGGCACACACTCACGATGATACCGGCCGTCCAGGGGTTGAGCAGCAGCAGGGCGCAGACGAGAAAGGTGCAGGCCAGCAGGATGCTGATGGCCAACAGGAACCAGTGGCGCAGGCCGATGTATTGCTCCCAGAAGAGGAAGGGGTAGCCGCTGGGGTAGCTCAGCACCCCATGGCGCTGGGCCGCCTCCTGGCAGATGGCCCGCACGCTCTCAATTGCCTCGACGAAGTCGGCTGTGCGACGCAACCCGCTCAGGTAGAAGGGGAACTGGGCGAACTCCAGCGGCTGGGCTGCTGGGACTGAGGAGGAGAGCATAGGGTAGCATGGAGGAAATCAATTTCACATGAGTGCAGTCAAGATATGTGCCTGGGCACCACCTCGAGTAGCTGGGCATTGCCCAGGGAGGTGGTGGGGTCACTGTTCCTGCAGGTGTTCAAGAACCACAGAGATGTGGCACTGAGGGACATGATCAGTGGGCAATATTGGTGGTAGGTGGACAGTTGGACTGAATGATCTTAGAGGTCTTTTCCAACCTTAATGATTCCACTTTATGATTCTACGAGTATCACAGGAGCTGGGGGTACAGAGTGATGTTTGGGATGTAGGGCACAGAGAGTGCAGAGCAAGAAGACACAGGGATACATCTCCATCAAGGGATGCCCATGGGATGCGGGATGCTGGGGGTTTCTCAAGGGACAGGGAGCAGCATCCCCATGCCAGGGGATGCTTGGGGCCATGGGGACCCCACTAGGCGCTCACTCACTTCGGAGGTTCTCGCCTGTAGTGTCGTACTTGTCATGGATCCACTCAGGTGGTGGTGGGTAGAAGTTGGCCTGGGAGGCAGCGAAGCCCAGGGGGTCGTTGCTGGCCCACACCGTCAGGCAGATGTAGAAGGTGTCTGGGGGGATGATGCCATTCTCATCCACCAATCGCCGTGTAGTCAGCTATGGGGGCAGCAGGGATGGTGGTTAGAAGAGTGGTGGGCACAGCTCAGGGAACAGACCCATTGCTCCATCCCCAGCCCACTGCTCCATCCCCAGCCTTATCCCCAGGCACCTGGTTGAAGTTGAATGGCTCCTTCTTATTGCCAGTCTGGATGAGGAGCTTGTAGGCCAGTGCCCCATCCTCAGAGCCATTGCGATAGCTATCATAGGTGATGCGGCCAGCTTGCCAGTCCCTGTCGAAGGTGGCCTGGAGCCCTGGGGACAAAGCATGGGGTGAGCATCCCTAGGGGCACCATGGGGACACCATGGGATCCTCCCACCGACTGTGGCTCTAGAGGATGCAATGCACTTGGGAAAGTATTGCTTGGCATAAAGGCTGGGGTGGAAGCCCTGGGGATGCCCCTTACCTCGCAGCCAGTCCTGGAAGTAATGGAGCCACATCTTGGGCAGGTCATGGTTGCCTTCACGCACCACGTACTTGACAGTGCTAAAAGCCTGGTGCAGGCTGAGCAGGGCGGCCTGGGCGCCCGGGTAGTGGAAGCCACCCTTGGTGACGATGAACATGTTGTAGAAGGAGAAGTACTTGAACTGGGCTGAGATGAAGGCGTGAGCCTTGGTGTCCCGTGGCACAATGTCTGTCAGGTAGAGCCCGTCATGCACCATGGTGGTGCCGTAGAGGCTCAATCCTAACAGCGCCAAGAAGAGGATCACCACCACCACCTGTAGGGACAACAGGTCAACCAATGTCTCATGCCACCGCGCTGCATCACACAACCTCACATCCCCACCTAACTTCACCTTGGTCTGGGTCCGCAGCAGGAGCGGGGCGTACTTCTCACGGGCAAAGTCGGAGAGGCTCCAGCGGCACAAGGGCAGTGGCACGCACTCGCGCCCGCCCTTAGCCTCATCCAGCTGGGCCAGCAGGTCCCGTGTGGAGCTGGAGGGGGTGAAGACCTGCGAGCCCAATGGGTCGGCAGGCGGCAGCAGCACGGCGGGTGAGGTGCACACCTGGGAGGTGGGTGGCAGCACGGTGACGATGTGGTGGCCCGAGGGGTCGCACTGGGTGAAGGCCTGCACGGTGGTGGTGATCTGAGTGCTGGTGGCCACGCCGGGGTGGCCGTAGGGGGATGGGTGGGAGGCATGGTTGTCGTTGGCATCGGCCAACTCCTGGGGTTGGATCTGGATGACCCGTGAGGAGCAAGGACTGCGGGAAGAGGAAGGAGGAGGTGGTGAGGAAATGAGCAGGGCTGCTCATGGGACTGTTCTGGGAGGGACGTGAGGGTCCTGTGTGCCATCCCTGGCAGATATCTGCTACCTGTAGAAGCAGCAGAGGATGTCGAGGCGGCGCTTCTCCCGCCGATACAGGTCCAGGCTCAGTATGGCAGGGAAGATGAACAGCACCATGGCGAAGTTGAACACCACCACCACTGCTGCCTGCAGGCAGAGGGACATGTCAGAACCAGGCTCTTCCCACCCCACAACATGGTCACCACTCCCCAGTGGGTGCAGGGCATACCTGGAGTGAGAAGGCACGCAGGGCAGGGATGGGCACCAGGGCAGCCATGAAGAAGGCAATCATGTTGCTGACAGAGGTAAGAGCCACGCTGGTCCCCGTGCGCCGCAGGCACTCTCCTGTCCGCTCCTGTAGGACACAGAGGGACACAGTGACAAGGGATCATGGGGAGCAGTGGGGCATCCCAGGGCTGGACTGAGCGCTCACTTTGAAGGGGATGTGCTGGCTGGTCTCAGTGAAGGCATGAGCCAGGAGGAACATGTCATCCACACCAATGCCAAGGGCCAGGAAGGGCAGTACCTGCCAGAGAACAGCCAGTGTCAGCATAAGGACACAGCCACCACTTGGGACAAGGAAACCCACAACTCTTCCCCCCAGCATCTACCTGTGTGGTGGCTGCATTGAAGGAGATACCGAGCAGTGAGCAGAGTCCTAAGCCAGAGGCCACAGAGAGGGCCACCAGGAGGACCCCAGCCAGGCCCACGGCGCCCTGTGACTTGGAGCAGTCCCAGCGCAGCATGGTGACACAGGCGTAGGCCAGCTGGAGGAGCACAGCAGTTAGTAAGGAGGCAGTGGGAAGGGAGGGATGGAGCAGGAGATGGACAGAGGGGAGTATACACACCATGAGGAGGTATCCTCCAGCCACCCTGATGGCACTGACGTCAGAGAAGGACTTCATGATGTCATTGAGTGTGGTGGTGGAGAAGGCATGGATGTTCTGTGTGGCATTGGGTGGGATGGAGTCCTGCGCCAGCTGCAGGGCATACATCCCATTAGACAGAGCCATGACACATCACCCCATAACAGGACACAGAGGGTGAGCATTGCCTGGGGACCCGTTGGACCACAAGCATGGTGCTGGCACCCATGGTCATGTGAGACTCAGGCAGCTGTCCCCAGTGCCCACCTCCACGAATTTCCTCTGCCAGGCCTCCAGGATAGCACCTGCTTTCTCCTCACTCCAGCTGATGTCATGGATCTCATAGTCATCCTTGAAGTGCTCAAACAGCTGCCGAGGGCTCATGAGAAGGAACATTGTCTGCAGGGCCTCGGCACTGGGGAGACATACACACATCTTGCTAGGATCAGGGCTACAGCACCCTGTGTCCTGGGTCCTCCCAGAGTTCCACAGAATCTGTCCCTCTTATCCCCAGCCTTGCTCCAAAGCACTGTCCCCCTTGCCAAAGTGTTCCCTTGGGTGCTGGATGAGTCCACCAGTACAGGACCCCACACTGTGCCCAGTGATCCTGTATTGCAGCCTTTACCTTAGCAGCTTGCCCTGGGAGTCTTTGGTTGTGCCGCCCAAAATCAGCTCCTCCTGCCAGCGCATGAACTTCCTGGAGAAGCCATGGCAGCCCCCAGAGAGCTCCGCCGGGATGTCGGGGCTCTGCCGGAGGAGGGAAGGCAGTGTCAGACGTGGGCAGAGGATGGTGAGCCCCCCTGGTTCCACCCCAATCCCCATGGGCTGTCACCCACCTGCTGGCTCTGCTTGTTGGGGGCGCTGGAGGGGCACTGAGGGTCCTGGGGGTCCAGGCAGGGTCGCTCCATATAAGCCTGCCCCACCTCAGCCTTATCCAGCAGCTCCTTGAAGCCTTCTAGGGATGTGAACTGTCCCAGCTCCTCCATCAGCTGCAGAGGGTCCAAATTGCTCCACTGGATATCAGGACGGCCCCTGTGGAGAAAGCGGCACGGGACGATGCTGAAACCCCCCACCCCAGACCTCACTGCATGGGGTCAGCACCCCAACATCCTTGACGGCAGGGCCGGGGGGGAAGCATCGGTCCTTGATGCGTCCCGCAGCGTCCCTGAGCTCCGGCGCAGCGGGCCGTGCCCTGAGTCAAGCAGCGTGCCTGATCCTGTTAGGCTGGGACAAAGGGGGGCAGGCGGCCCTGTGCGCCCCGCTCCCTGCAAGCAGTCAGCATGATTACTGCCCGCGGGATAACATCTTGATAGAGGGAGTGGGGAGGGGATGTTGGGCCCATTCTACTCTCAGGTTTTGGGGTCTGCTATAGGGTCAGGGGAGGGAGCGAGGATGGGAATTGAGGAAATGGGGTTTTTCTGCTGCCTATGTAGGATGCTCCGCTCCAGACTCCACCTCTGTCCCAGCCCCAGTAGTTCTTTGAGAGAGGACAGACTAAAAGAAGCCAACTAACCCAGTCCAGAGCTGCAAAAAGGGAAAGAAAAAGCCCAGAGCAAGTGCGGGCACTGGGGAGAAGTGCAGCCCAATGATTCATGAAGGCTGGCTGGGCCAGAGCCGGGCGCTCCAGATTCCCACATACCAACCCGAGCCGCTGCCACTTCCAAAGAGAGCCCCTTTTATCTGCTCTGCTTGCTTCACTGAGCCAGGGCAAATCCTTTTGTCTTTCCACAGATTGCCACGCTTTGTTCTCCCAGCTCCCGCCCTGCTCACCCCTCAGAGCCTTAAAAGGGGACAGAGTCCCGGGGCTGCCCCATGGGTACCGCTGCGGGGAGGTGCCCTGCTGCCACCCCTTGTCCAGATCCAGATCCTCAAGAATCCCTGATTTGTCCCCAAGTGTGGGGACGATGCCAGTCCCACGGCAGACAGTGCCACTGGTGCCACACTCACTGCCGGCCAGGCTGGGATGCACAATCCCAGGTTCTAAGGGGGGGGCCAAACAGTCCCCCCCCCCAGTGCTGGCTGGGCACGCAAAGGCCCCTTCCCCCTCCTCCCAACCCTGAATAAGGCCACTATTTCATCTGGTTGGCAACGGGCAGCTTTCAGAGCAGCATTAGCATGAGAAAGCGCGGGGCTGCGTTTGCTGACAATGCACAAGGCTGCTCGGGCTCTCCCGGACAAACACGGCTGTAAACAGAAGGAATGCAGGGGGCCTCCCCAGGCCCCACCAAAAAGCACCCAGGGCGGGGAGACGAGCATGGAGTGAGCAGCCCCATGCACCTGCACCTCACTGTCCCCATTCCAGGGCTGGGGGTGACGGGGATGTGCCACCAGGGGCCCCACTGGTGTCCCCCATACACTCACGGGAGGTAGGCTGAGCCTCCCTGCAGCTTGGCCCCTTCCCAGAAGCAGTCCAGCGGTGTCAGGATCACGCAGGGGAACAGCTTCTCGATCATCTGCAGGAGGAAGAGTGGCAGTGGGTTGGAAGGATGCACTGTGCCACCACCCTGTACACCTGCCTGTACCACCACCTCCCATCCCAGCCCCAATCTGCGTGCCCTGCATGGAGCTGGAGGGCTGCACACTCTCAGCAGATGGATTTTTACCATTTGCTGCTCCATTCTCAGGGGGCAGATGGCCAGGGGTGGGAGTCCCATGGCACCGGTGCCCCTAGTGACCCACTCAGTGCCACACTCAGGACTCACCCTCTCGATCATTCCATTTTCAATGATGGGGACGCCTGACTTGTAGCAGATTTTGTTCAAATCCCACGATCTGCAACAGGAGGAGAATCTGAGGATGGGTTCTGTGCCATGGGAGAGTGAGAGGGGGACGCAGGGCACGGCGGGAGTCCCTGACCCCCCCCCCCCCATCTGGAGCAGGACTCACTTTCCGTACAGCGAGACTTGCACTTTGCTGGCAGCCAAGGCCGCCTCGAGGTGGAGCTGCAGGGCCTCCTGCGTCAGGATGTTCTCTCCTTCGCGTTTCGGGGTCTGGATCAGCATCTGGGACGTGTAGACGGACTCCTCGCCCAGCTTCTCCTTCGTGTAGCGGAGCTCCTGGCTGACACGGCTGCCCGCTGCGGGATGGGAGGAGACCGTGACACTGGGGCCACCAACACTCTGTCTCAGCACTGCACCCACCGAGGGGCACCTGGGGATGTGAACAGTCCCCAAGTGCAACCAAGCCCAGGGACGTCTTGCCATGGGGGTCTCCCAGCTGCTCTGACCCCCATGCGCTCGCATCCCAAAGGCACGCATTCATCCTGTATATCCTGCCAGCTCACTGGCTTTGCCTTTCCTGGAAAATCCCTGTGTGCAGCAGGAAGGCAACATTACACATCCCCTCCGCTCCCACCTGGAGCAGACGACTGACCCACAGGGCTGCTCTGGGAGTACCTGGGGACAGAAGGGCACCGGAGGCCCTTTTGGCACCTCCAAGGCACAGGAAGCCATCCTTAAATGCTATACAAGAGTTTCAGCAACCAACTTTCCCACCAGAACACGCTGACTTTATTTCCAGCCATATACTACAGACCCTGTAGCACCCAGCTCCCAACTCATGGGGTACCCAAGATAAAGCCCCCACCCCAGTGCCACCCTCTGAGGACATCACACATCCTGGTGCTGGGACACAGTTCTCATCCATGCTGGGACCAGGACACTCCCTGGGCACAAAGCCGGAGCCCGGCAGGCCTGGCCCCCCGCCAGCACTGAGGAGGCCAGAGCAAGACCACAAATAAGCAGCAGAATCTTCCCCTTTTAATGACTTATTATATGGGTTGACTTTTTTTTGTTGTTTGTTATATTTTCCTTGGTTTTTTGGGCGGGGGGGTGCCTTTATTGTTCCTGGCCTGGCTGAGGAGCAGCTGGTGTCCATCAGATGCCATTTGCGATGGAGGTTGTGCCAGGGCTGGGGGAGCAATGGGAGGAGGGGGTGGGGGGCACGGCTGTGGCCTTTGTGTGTGTGTGACAGAGGGGACGTCGGCGCCCAGGGCTAGGGACATGGGGAGGGAGGGTGCCGCGGGGGGAAGCATCCCTTCCCAGCAGGGTGGGAGGTCGGGGCCGGCGGGGGTGCACCGCTGCTCTGATCTCGGTTGTGCCACCCACATGGATGGGCGGATGGGGCTGGAGGGGGGAGGGTTGGGGGGCATGGGGTCCCACAACCCAAGAGGGGAAAATAGAGGATGCCCCCTCCTCCCTTCCACAAAAAAAAAAAAAAAAAAAAATTGAGAGAAAATAAAAAGCCGTCCCTTGTAATTAGTGTTAATTTGGAACAGGGCACTGCGAGCCGTCAGCAAGCTTCAAAGGCAGTGAGGAAGCCTCAAATTCCAACACCCTAATTAAGCAAAGAGCAACATGAAAAGACACGGCAGCGTGCGCCGGGCTGCCAGGGACACTTCAAACGGGCACACGGCCGTCCCCAGGCTGGGAACAGAGCAGGACGCCCCGCACTGAGCACAGGGGGCCTGAACGCCATGACAGCAACAATGAGCATGGCTACGGGGAACTGGATGTAAATTTTTTTTTTTTTTTTTTTTAAACTCCAATTAACAAAGGGAGCCCTCAGCTTGTTCATGCAAAGGGCCCTCTGGTTCCAATCAGACACCCGGCACTGCGATGAGCATCCCACCCTGCTCCCCAAAGGGATGGATGTCTCCTGGGACATGCCTCATCCTCTGTGCGATGGATGGCGGTTTGGGTACCATGGGATGGGGACGCAGACTGGGGGTGATGGCACACATAGGGGGGATATGGTAGCCAAGTGGGTGCCCAGAGGGGTCCCAGCACTGCGGGAGGCCATGCGCATGGGCTGTGCTGTGGGAGCCCTCCCATAATTATGGCATCCACTGCTAGATTATAGGGCAGGGCAGGAGCCTCCCTTCCTCCTCCCTGGCCACCCTGCCTGAGCCACCCACCCTCCAAGCTCTCCACAGCCCGGCAGTGGTTCGCCCACAGCTGCAGGCACCAGTTTGTGCCCCTGAGGATGATCAGACAGGGAACAGGAACCCAAAGAACTACCCCGGGTGGTGGCTTCCCCCAAACCATGGTGAGCCACAGGTCCAAGCACACTCCTTAAACATCAGTTGGAGGGTCTGGGGGCAGCAGACCCCATGCCAAGATCCCAGACAGGCATATCAGCATGGGAACACAGTCCCACGCTGAACTGCCACAGCCAAAGGGGAGAAAAGTGAGGAAGATGATGGAAAGCACTGCAGAAAGGCAGTGACCCCTCAAGAGACGCACTGCTACAGAGTCCATGCTGTGAATTCAGGGGTGGGGGGACACTTGGGCACCAGCAGTGCCACCACACTGCAGATGGGCACTGCCAGAAGCTGTCACTGCTCAGGTGAGCAGGGTAGCAGGCAGCAAGCATGCCCTCGCTCAGCCCCCAGAAGAGAGACCCAGGGCTGTGGGGCAAAGGGTCTGGCACAGCTTCGCCCCAGCTGCAGCCATACCTCCAGCAAAGGGATCCCTTCTGGGGCACGTCCTATAGGACAGAGCTAGAGAGCAGCATTCAGATGAGGAATATCACACCGAGACCCTCCTCCGGGAACAGCCACCCCCCAACAGCATTCCCATATCCACACCCCCTCCATGCAACCAGAGGGGCTCGCAGTGCCATCAGCACAGTACGGACACAACGCATCACCGCTCCGGATCCATACATAAAACCCCACCAAAAAAAGAGGGCAAGGGGTATGGGATCCCCCCACCCCGAGCACTGCCCCACATAACCCCACAGCCGGGGGTCCCGCAGCACGCAGGGAAGGGACGCGCCATCCCCGTGCCGCCAGGCACGCAGCAGCCAGAGGCCACCTTGGGAGTGTTGTGGGGCGGATTAGCTGGATTAGGGAGCTGTGAAAGGACCCATGCTGCTCTGGAGGAAGTCTCGCTCAGGGCGTGCTGAAAGAGCCATTTTTACCTGTCCCGGCCTCCCGAGGAGCCCCGCGGCCCCGTCCTGTCACAACACGGCCCCGTGCCCCCGCGGGGTGGCAGCCCCACTCCGACCCCATAGGAGCGCTCCCGAAGTAAACGCAGCAAAGGAGAGGGTTCTGCTACCAAAACCCAGCACAGGGGATGCAAAAAGTGAAAGAAAAAGAAAAAAAAAAAAAATCAGGAGCAAAGGGCCGGTTTGAGGCCACGGATGGGGAGCCGGCTTTGTTTATGGCGCAGCCAAATTAATGTCTTTATTACCCCCAAATCCGTTCCCAGCGCGGCCGGGACCGAGGGGACAGCGCGACCCCCGAAAAGGGGGAGCGGGGATTGAGGCGGGGACCATTCAGCGCTCAGACTCCTGTCAGCATTGACATAAATTTCCACTGGTGTTGGCATTTAGGCATTTGCCATTTCCATATGTATGGGGCTGCCTGTACTAATTATGCTAATCACCCCCTCTGTTGGCTGCTGTGAAAAATGGCCACATTAGGCACTCCACTGCTTGCTAATGTCACTTAATGTGTGGTTGAAACATACATTCATCCCGCGCTGAATGGTGAAATTTTTCCACATTGCTGGCTTCATTCAGGCAAGAAATGAATTTTTTGAACTCGGACCACTTTTCCAGGCCCGAGGGAGAGGCAGAGAATAAAACCCTCTTCTGGGTCCCTCGCGCCGCCCCCTCCCCAACGGGGCAGAGTCCCCTCCGAGCGCCGCGGATACGGACGAGTTTAAAGGAAAAGCCCCCAAACCATCCAGGGCAACAGAAATGTATAAGCGGAGAAGCAAAGCGAAATGAACGCACGCAGATAACCGCAGCCATCTGAGGTCTCTGGGACTTTTTGGTTAATTAGCAAAAGTTTCCAGCCCCCGAAAAAAAGAAAAAAAAAAAAAAGAAAAAAAAAGCTGAGCGTGCCGACAAGGAAGGGGAAGGCAAAGGGAACTCCCAGCAGTGTCCCAAAGGGAAATACACAGAGGCAGCCCCTGCTGAACCCCCGAGAACAGCGAGTCCCCGGGAACGGTGCTCGTAGGGCTGGCTCAGAGCAAGTACACAGAGCCCACTGCTGGATTTTAGGACAGTGGGAGCACCGACCCAGCACCTCACAGCAGCAGCATGCAGGTCCGAGCCCCCAGGGATGGGGTCCCAAGGACACCCCTAACCCCATGCCCAGATGGGGTGCAGGGTCCAGACCCAGACAGAACACAGGAGGGACCGCACAGCTGCAATGGGGACCTCTTCTCACCCCACACACTGACACCAGTGCCACCACACGGGCACGGAGCAGGGATGTGGGCATCTCCTGCCCCCCGAACCCACCCGGCAGCAGCAGGACCACCCACCTCTCTCCATGCCCACCCAGGCACCACACAGCCCCCCCCCCCCCCCCCCCCCCCCCCCCCCCCCCCCCCCCCCCCCCCCCCCCCGGGTCCCGCAGCAGCGTGGGAAGCGGGGCTGCAGGCACAGCTCTCTGCCGTAGGGCACAGAAGGGTGGGGAGGGCCTTTCATCCCCACTCTCAGCTTTTATTGTGGCTTTCCGCTGCCTGGAGCCAACCCCCCCTCCTTCCGTGGGTGCCATCTCCCTGGGTGCTGGGGGCGGGGGGACAGCACCCTGTGCCAAACCCTATGGTAGAGGTCAGGGAAGGACGGAAGCCACCAGGGAAGGCTAGGGGAAAAAAAGATATAACGACCATCTCATCTTTGTGGAAACAGGGAGGGAAATGCCTCTCACTCCCGTTTCACGCATCCACCTCCATCCCTCAGCCCTGCAGCACATTTAGGGTATCCCTGACCCCTCTGGGAAAGGAACGGGGTCTGCTCCGGTGCTGTGGGAGCGCGGGGCTGTTCCGGTTAGGAATTAACCCGGCCTTCCTTTGAACCAGCCCTCAGCCCCATAAATCAGGCAGCGCCATTCACCACCCAGCGCTCTGCCTCCCCGGCCCCGCAGCGCCCTGGGAGAGCCGGGAACAGCTGCCAGGTGTCTCGAGGTAACCCAACACTCGCCGCGAGACGGGGATTCAAAGCCTGCGAGCGGCTAATTGCTTCGGAGGAACCTAATTGAACATTTCCACAGCAGAGTCCAATTTATGGGGTGACACACGGCCTTTTCCCATCTCCCAAGTTAGGATGTGGAGCATGCAGCAACCCTGCAGGCACCACCAGCATCCCCCAGCCTGGAGGGCTGAGACAGCCCTAAGCCAGGATAAGGGACCCCACAACAGCCAGTGTTGCACCCAGGCTGCAAAATTCTCCTGTGGGGGGCACAGCCCCTCCCCAGCCCCAAAGAGCTGCCCAACCCATCTCTCTGTGGGGACAGAGATATTGTGTCCCCACAGGTCACGGCTCCATCCACATCCTCCTGCAGCAGGAACAGCCTCACCTGGGCCTCGCCTGGGTGCATCACCAAGCTGCAACCCACCACCTGTCCATAGTGGGGCAGGTGAGAAGGTACAGAGCAGCTCCCGAAGGGCATTGGTCCTCAGCTACTCTACTACTGAGCTGGGGCATCAGCAATGGGATCGGGACTCCCCACACACAACCCGTGTCCCTTCAGTGCTGCGCAGAACAGGAAGACCATGTCCCTGCAGACACCTCTGCACAGGACTCAGCTCCCAGCATCTCACACCTCTGGCCCCTTCGGGGGTCACACCTCTCCACCAGCCCCACGCTGCCCCCACCGATCCGGCAGCACGGCAACAAACGCACCTACCCCGCGTAACGACCGGGGAAAAGGCAGCAGAGAAATCCCAGAAGCAGTCCAAAAGAAAAAAAAATGAAAAATAAAAGCTCAGAACGCAACGGCGCAGTGTGCCTTCCTGCACCTGTGACACACAGCCCGCGGCCTCGGGACATGGATGGCAGCGGACACACGGGGCGGTGACGGATGGCGAGCCGACACGCGGGGCTGCGCGGAGCTCCCACGCACCGAACCGCTCCGAGCCCGTACCGACGGCACCGGGATGCGCTCCACCGCAAGGAACGAACGCAGCGCCGTCGTCACCCCGGCTCATTCCCCATCCCAACACGCTCCGATCTCCGCTCCCCCACGACAGCGGCGAGCCCTCCCCCGGCTGCAGCCTCAGAGAAGCACGAAGACCCCCGCGGCCCCAGGGGGAACAGCGGGAGCGCTCCGGGCACCGCCGCACCGCGCAGCGAAGGGGCAATGGATGGATGGATGGAGCGGTGCGGGAAGAGCGCCACGCGGGTGCGGGGAGCAGGTGGGGGCTGTGCGGGAGAGCTGAGCGCCGAGGAAGGGAAAAAAAAAAAAGAAAAAGAAAAAAAAAAGGGGGTGGGAGAGCAAAGTTGCTTCTATTGTTGAACCGAATCCAAGAGGAGCCGAGGACCACACAGGGAGCGGGGCGTGGGGGAGGAGGCAGCTCCGCGCTAAGATGGCTGACACCCTCCGCTCGGCAACATCTGCCCCGGCGCTGCGCCCGCGGGGCCCCCCCGGTGGGACGGGAGCGGGCCGGGCGCCGCGGGGGGCACAAAGGGATGGGAGCGGGGATGTGCTCCGGGCTGAGCCTCCCGCAGCGCTCCGCGCCCCGTGCCCGACGGCGGGACGTGGGGATGCTCCGCGAGAAAGACGGGAAAACAGCGAAAGAAAAAAAAAAACAACCAACCGAGAAAGCAAACAGACAAACACGCGTGGGAGCGCGCTCCGCTCCCGGCACACGTGCGCGGATCCCACGCGGGTTCAGCCCCACGCACCGCCCCGCACGGCCGCTTACCTTCCACCCAGAGGTGCTCGATGTCCGTCTCGACGGAGGCCACCCGCAGCCCCACGGCCAGCGCCCCGAACAGCAGCAGCCCCACGAACAGCACCTTCCCGCAGTGCCGCTGGATCCGGCAGCCCAGCGCGAAGAGCAGCGCCTGGAAGCGGGCCCGCAGCCACAGCGGGGCCCCGCGGCCCTGCGGGGAGCGGCGGCGCTCAGCGGGGGGACCCGCACGGCGCGGTGCGGGGCGGAGCGGGCGATGCTCGCCGCTTACCTCGGGCAGCGCTTTGCGGAGGGCGGCGGCGGCGGCTCGCGGAGGAGCGGAGCGGGGGGGCTCGGCCGGCATGGCGGGGCGGCTGTGCGGGGCGCGCAGCCCCGTTATGTGGGGCCGAGCGAGGCGGCGTCGGCCCCCATGGGCGCGGAGGGCGCGGAGGGCGCGGGTGTGCGGCGGAGCGGCGGTGCCGGTGCGGAGGGCTCTGGGCCGGCGGCCGCCCGCCGCGCCTCTAAAGGGGAGGGCGGGGGCGGGGGGCGCCGGGGCCGCGCCGCCGCCGCCGCTCCCATTGGCCGCCGCCGCCGCGGCAGCGCCCATCGCCGCTGCTAAGCAACGGCAGCGCCCGCCGCCGGCGGCCACACACGGCGGAACCCCCCCGCCGGGTTCTTCCCCCCCCCCCCCCGCGCTCCCCCCCCCATCACCGCAACGCACCGCCCGGCCCCGCCGCGGGGAGAGGGGGGAGCGTAGCGGCGCGGGGTGGGCATCCCCACAGCCGGCCCCACAGCATCGCCCTACGGCAGCCGCCTCTAAGGAGGCGTACGTAGCCCACGGCTGCCCCCCGCCAAGGGTAGGCGGCCTCCGCATGGGTGCCCCGCGGGATGGACGTCCCAATAGCGACGCTGACGGCGTCGCCCTACAGCTGCCGCCTCCAAGGACGGGCACGGCCCCCAGAGGTGCCCCCTGCAAGGATGGGCACGCGCACCCCATAGGGGGTATTGACAGCCCCCCATGGGTGCCTCAAGGGATGAGCATTCTCCCCAGGGGCTGCTTATCCCCCCAGAAGCTGCCTTCCAGTCTTTCCCCCATAGCCGCCTATGGGGCCGTGCATCTTCTCATAACCTCTCTCCAAGAATGGGTGCAGAGGGGCCCCCCATACCCACTGCCCACCCCCGAAGGGCTGCGTGCCCTTCATGTGCACCACAAGGGGTGGGCATTCCCGCTCCCACCCCAAGGGCTGGCGGTACCCCCAAGGACTGGGTGTTCTGCCATGGGGGAACAGGGGGTACTCTGCTTTTTGGGGTTGCCCAAGAGCATTGCCCCATCCCAGCTACGCACATCCGACCTCAACGGCCCTGGACTGGAAGCAGGGGGATGCATATCGCCCCCTAACAGAGGGGCAGAGGGGAAGGGTAAATGCCAGCAGTGATTTGTGGGGCAATAGGGATTTGCACCAGCTTTATGGGAGCTCTGCTCATTTTGCACCCTCCCAGGGTCTCTGTTGGACAGAGTCAGTGTTGCTCCCACTGGGAACCTGCAGAGCTGCTGGAGGCAAACCCACACAGAACATCATCCCATAAGGGCTGCGGCGTTCGCAACATCTGGGCTCCTCCAGGCATCCCTTTACTGGTCCAAAATATGGGGAAACCCTATATAACCCAATAACTCAGGAAAACCCTAACTCCAGGTTCTGGGACAACCCTACTGCAGCCACAGAGCTGTGCTGGGCACCAGCAGCACAGAAAGGGTTTCTCCCACGTCCCGCGATAGGCCTGTAGCATCTGGCGGTCCCCCAAATACAGAAGGGAAACAGCTATTCAGCACTTCTTGTGCCTGATTGCTATTAACAGCTCCACCATTCCTATTCCTCGGTGGACCGGTACTACCGCTGGGCAGCTGCTTCTTTTTAGAAAGTAAGACAAGAGTTCCGCTGTCCGGTGTGGCACCACAGTGTTCTCTGATCCCCATTCTCCATCACCTATTTGTCACTGGTTATTTCTACCTGGGACCGTACTGATGTATGGCATAGATGTGGTTGGCAAACCCTTGGGATGGCCACTGAGCCCGTCAGGGATGGCATTCTCAGCCCCATCCAGGCTCGCCCACGGCAGCACTGGGGTGCCAAAGCTGAATGGTACAGCGGCATGGATCTGAGCATTGTGGCCTGGGTCTTCTTAGAGCATCTCAAACCCCATACAGGGATGGAACCCAACTGGAAAATGCCTGCAGGCAGGACTGTGCCCTGACGCCACAGCAATGGTCTCTGGCAGCTCTGGGTCTGCACAGTTCCACGAGCTCTGTGTCACCCTTGTGTCCCCCAGAGCCACCCAGAGGGGACGTGGGTTGTGTCCTGAGCCCCATGGGCCACTGGACTCGGGGGAGAGGCTCACGCACGGGGAGGCTGCGCCTGCCGCTTCGTGCTGACCGGCTGTTTTATATCAAGGCGGGAGGGGGGATTTGCTGTTCTAGATGGTATTTTAATGGGCAGCCAGGCAGCTGGAGCCTGGGAGAAGCCTGCTTTACATTGTTTGGGGTTGTAACAAATAAATTCAATTAAAGGCAAATGGCTCCGCACAGCCCCCACCCTGCGCTGAGACTGCAGCACGGATGGCTGCGGGAGCCCAGCCCTGGGTGAGAGGCGGGGGCCCAGGGCTCCATCCCCACACTGGGGACACCCTGGAGCCATGCCCCAGTGAGACACTGGGATGCAGTGGGAGGCTGGCTGAGCAGGGATGGGAGCAGGGACATCCAGAGAGGGGGTGTCTCCATATGGCTGTTCCATTCTGTGGTGCAAATGGGATGGGGGAATCCCAAGGACACCCCAGCAGGCAGCCCTGGAGATGCGGCACAAAGGGGCCTGGGGAGAGGGATGTAGGGAAGGGACAGGGACATGGAGCTGGGAGCAAAGCAGAGGGGACTTATGGGGCCATGCCAGAACCTCAGAGCTGTAAACAGCCACAGCAGCAACTCCTCTGCTGGGAGCCAGAGCCGGGCGTTTGTTAGTTGGAAACCAGATGGTGCTCTGCAAAGCCAGCCCAGCCCGCCCGGCTGTGGGCCCCTGCTCAATGCAGGCTCCCAGGGGCCATGGTGGGATGAAGGAGGTGTTGGGGTGTCCTGTGCAGCAGTGAGGGCTGGGAGGAGATGTCCCCAGGGGTACTGTGTCCCTCAGGGGTGCTGTGTGCCCAGAGGAATGGTGTGACCCAAAGGGATGCTGTAGGAGGACAGGATGAGAGGGGCGGCATCCACAGCCCACAGCCCCCTGAGCACCTCTGTGTGCTGAACTGTGCCTCAGTTTTCCAGCAGCTCCCTGGCAGCTGGGAGGTCTCTGGGATGGAGGGGGTCCCCAGGCCAGAGGATGACAGGTCCATCCAAACAGGGCGGTGGTGCCAGTGGGGAAAGGATGGAGCCCCATCCCCGAATCCAGGGAAAGCCCTGGGGTGATGCCATAGGACGTGGTGACGGGGCCAGGGCCAGCAGGATCCCGTCCCCTTTTTCCAGTACCTGGCTGTCCCCGGGCAGCAGCACCAATGTGACACAGCCATACCCCTCTCAGCCCCCGTGTTTTTGGGGAGCACAGCATGCGGGCAGACAGCCCTGACTGGGGAGGGGACAGAGGGAGCACCGTATCCCCGTGGGGGTCCCATGGTGTTTACAGAGCTTAAGAACCCCCTAAGCCCCGCCAGGCCACGGGGCACAATAGCGTGTGGACGTGGTGACACCGGCCGTCCCCACACCACCTTGGAAGACAGAGGGCCCTGCCACCCACCGCCAGCACCGGGATTAATTATGATAATGTAGTTCTTTCCCCCTTTGTCACCCTAATGAATGGGCCCCTTTAGGATTTTAAGGCCTTTGTTTGGTGCCTCTTTACTGCGGTATTGTAGGATGGGGACTAGCAGGTGGCAGGTCCCCAAACAGCCCCTTTTGTCTCCTTTGGGGGCTGTTTGGTGGTGGGGTTGGGAGGGGGTGCAGGGGGGTTGCAGGGGGGCTCCGGGAGGGACCGGGCCCCGCGCCCCACACCGTGCCGCCATGTCGGGGCCTGCAGGCTCGGCCGGGCCCACACGGCGGGCAGAAGCCGGGAGCCACCGCCTGAGCACCGGCCTTGATCTTTTACTGCCTGGGCAAATCAATTACCCGGCAGAAAAGTCCCTAAATCCCACCATAAAACCCGTTTAGCGGCTGATGTGGCGCGGTGGCCGCTGGTAGTGCTGGTTGGGCCCTGGGCAAAGCCTCAGCTCACGGCCATGGGGTGAGGGCAGGGTGGCTGCTGGGGATACTAGGGACAATCAGGCACAGTGCTCTGGGATTGTGGGTCCTGGGGGGCCTGGTTGTGCTCAGCCCCTCCAAGGGCCCACAGCACCTTCCCCTCTGCTCCCGTGCTGGGAAATGCCTTCGGGACACCCAGGAGCACTGTGACAAGGGACGCTCTTCCTTGGGTGCTGGGCACCGTAGATCCCTGTACCCTGCTGTACTTTCCCACTCCCCACTGGACCCCAAGTGTCCCCGTCCCATGGTGTACAGGGCAAACTGGGGTGCGGGGGGGCAGGTCCTGGCCAGGCACCACAAACAGTGGTGAGCAGCGGGGTGGTAAAACGGTGACAAGTAATTGGTGTCCCGGCCGGTCCTTTCATGCCGACGCCGTTTTATGGGTGAGGAAATTGCTTGTGAGTCAGGAACACAGGAGACAAATTTAGGAAGTGCTCTCTGAATGTGCTGGGGTCAGGCGCCGAGGCCGAGCGCTTGAAACCTGGGTGGCCTCGGCGCTCGCCCCGCGCCCCCCCGGCCCCTCGGCATGGGAACGCGGACCTTTTATCTTATCACTGCTCTTCCGCCCGCCCCAGCCTCCCCTCAGCCCCCTCCCAGCGCAGCCGCTTGTGCCGCAGACACAATGCCACCCTCTGGGAGCCAGCATGGGGGCTGCCCCCACTGCCCCAATCCACCCATGGGGTCCCCAAGGTAGACCCCAATGAGCTGCTGTGGGGCGAGTGGTCCCCCCGTTGGGGTGCTGCCCGATGTGGCAATGGGGAAGCACTGGGGTGAGGTGCTGAGCGGTCCCATGGCTGGGCACTGTCCTCAGGTATGAGCCAGTTGGCCCCCAGTGCTGGCTTCCAGAGCCCCCCAGGAGGAAGAGAGCAGGTGCTCCCATTTGTTTGCTATGGTTTTAACTGGGAGGAAAGGCCATGGCCCCATTAATGCGTGCCCGAACACGGCTGAGGGTACCTTGAGAGCACAGCCCCTTCCCTGGCCACCTCGAACGCACCAAACCAGGCGGGTTGGATGTATTTTTCTTGATCACTGGCCAAGCGCTCTCTCCTGCAAAGCAGCATGTTTCTCATTTTCTGTAGGTTTAACTCCAAATTAATTTGTAAGTGATCTAGGTTTCTTGTTCCCCGAAAGATACCTAATAGCGCAGGGGAGTTCCTGCCAACCGAAACGTCGCAGCAGGGCGAAGGAAAAGCAGTAAAAAGAAACCCAGGAACTGTGACCCCTGGTGGGTATTTAACAAGGTGTCAGGTCGAGGGATTTTCAGAGCCCTCTAAGTGGATGTGACACCAGCCCCACTGCTCGGGTTGGGCCGCAGGAGGGTCCCGCTGTGGGGATGCTCTGCTGTGGCTGCTCGGTCCCATCCCGATGCAGCGATGGAAGGCACTGGGTGAGCAGAGAAGGATGGGTTGGGGTCCCAGGACCAGCGCCCCACTGCATGGGAAGCAGGCATGGTTTAATGGGGCCAGCTGCTGGCAGGAGGACACAGGCGCTTTTGTCTGTGCTCTCGCTCCCGGCACTGGTTGGGGCTGGCAGGGCCTGGAGTGGTTCAGCCACCGAGAGCCGAGCTCGCCACGGGGGCTAGCGGCCAAACCCACCTAACAGCCCTGCTGCGTCATTTATGCCGGGGCAGCCTGCAGCAGCAGCAGTGAGCCTCCTGCCTTGCTGCTGGCTATGGAGCAGAGGCAGCAGGATCCCTTCTTGCAGGCACCCGGCACCAAACGTCATCTGCAGAAGGGCCAGAGCAGGGAGGAGACGCTGCTGTTGCTCAATGACCCTGCAAGGGCCCCGGCCCTGGCTCCATCCCATTGCCACTGGCAATGGCTGAGCGACACGGCCACCAAGCTGTCCCACGCTCTGCGGGCAGCATTGCAGCATCGAGGACAACATCACATCCCATGGACAACACAACCCAGCCACCATCAGCCCATTCGCTCTCCCCAGCCATTGCCGGGGGGTCCCAGCTTTCTCTGCCTGATAACACGGCAGGGAACCATTTTTGGGGATCCTGGACTTGGAGTGAAACCGACGCAATGAGCTGCTGGGGTCTTTGCAAGGCAAATGGCTGAGTTGCACCAGCTGGCCATCCCAAACATGCCCATCGCACCACCACCAGCCACCCCATCCTCATCCCAACATTACCACTCGCTCCTTTCTCCTCATCCTCTCCAGCTCCCCAGGAGCTGCACCCTGCTCCCAGGTGCCAGCCCTGGGACGGTGCTGGCCGTGGTCTCTGCCACCAGCCCCCCCGCCCCGCCGCAGGGTTAAACCCCCCAACCAAATGACGGAGGAAGATAGGAAAAACAATCACAAGAATTTGTTTCATGCTGCCTGGATCCCTCCTCGCACGCAGCAGTGTTTTTGGACGGCCAATTTATAATCAGCAGTGTGGAATGTTGTAAATTAAATATTTTTAAACAACTTTGCTCTCTCTCTGGTTAAACATTTCAGAGATCGCTCTTTCTTGTCTGTCTCTTGCTGGGTGGTCCCTCCATTCGCCCGTACATCTTCCTCAAACACAATTAACCATTTAGATGTTGCACAAAGGAATAGCTTATGCATACAACACCAGTCGCTTGCTGCTCTGGCAGTGGGGGAGGGAGGCAAATAAGAAGGCAGCTTCTTTTATTTTCCACTAAAAACAAAAACAAGAAAATCCCTTTTTCCTTCCCAAACTATCCCATTTTCCTTGAATTGTAAAGGCACTGATCCAAGCTCATCAGCTGTCTCGGTGTTTGGTCCAGGAACCCCCTTGCTTTTCCCCCTCTCCTGAAATTCAACATTAGCATTTTAAAAGCCTTAAACATACAAGTTTATTTAGACCCCAGCTCTCTCAAGCTCTCGCTTTCCATATTTATATATACATGCATTTTATCGTATATAAAATGTCTGTCTATTGGGCCTGGAAGGAAGTTCTCGTCTGCCGGCCCGTCTGGGCAGCATGGTGTGTCTGTGGACCTTGGCTCCTGGGACACGGAGTGAAAATGGATGCTGCCCTAAAGCAGCCACTCTGCCAGGACCCAGTGAACCTCAGATGCTGTGCAGCACTGGGGCAGGGATTCTGGACCTCCTGGACTCCCCTCCAAAATTCCGAGCCCCTGACACCCACAGCTAGCAAGAAGGATGGGATAAATCCATAAGGGCTGGGGCTGGGCTGGCAGCAACCCGCAGCAGGACAAACAGGAGATATGAGGCCACCACCTTCCCCTGAAGATCTTCCAGGGAGGTCGATGAACCAGGCAGGACAAACCACCAAGCCGGCCACGCTGACCCAAGCAAGACTCAGCACAGCTGTGCCGAAATCAGCACGTGCCAGCTCCCCCAGACAGAAATGTCCCAGCAGCAGAGGACGGGCAGGGACTGGAGCAAGTCATCGGCCCTCAATGCACAACCTTCTCATATCCACCCAGCTGCACATCTGCCGGGAGGCTTCATGAGAAGCCTGTCCAGAAAACACCACCACCTACAGAGCTGGGAAGCTCCATCTTTTCAGAAACAGTGCCCACGAAGCACTGCCCTGGTGTTAATACTACCTGATGGGCATGGGCTGCAGGGCTCACCTGCTGGGACCTGACTGAGCGAAGCAAGGAGACAAACTGCTCCTCAAAGCTGGAGAGCAGTAGCACGAGTCAGACCTCCATGACTGCCTGCATGACTTGGGACCAAAGCTGCACCCCAAACAACCTGGGAACAGAAATGCGTTTCTGAGGTCACCTCTCCATTTCCCTTGAATACTGTTATATTTCTCACTCAGTCTGTACACATTCCTATATCACAGAATCCTTGAGGTTGGAAAAGCCCTCTAAGATCAGCCAGTCCAATCCCACCCCACCACACCCGCTGACCACGTCCCTCAGTGCCACATCCCCACGGCTCTTGAACATCTCCAGGGATGGTGACCCCACCAGCTCTCTGTGCAGCTGTGCCACTGCATCGCTGCTTTTTTCTGAGAAGGAATTGTTCCTAATATTCAAGCCATCCTCTGCTCATCTGATGATGGCAGCAGCCCGGAGACCAGGTGAGATGAGGAAGGGTTAACCTGGTGCCCATCTTGGGATTCCTGAAGGCCCTATTACCCTGAATTATTTTTCATAATTACTGCCACACACGTAGACTACATCAAGAGTGAATCTTCACTTTGATAATTTGTGCTGCGAAATCTCACTTTGGGATCTACTTTTATCTCACACCAAACACCTGCAGGTCGTAAAAGGCAAAAAGGAAAAGAAAATGCCTCAAATCCCAGCCAGGTTTTCAAGTGTCAGGGAACACTAAATTAATGCTAAATTCTAACCGACACAGTAATGAGCCCCCCACCCTCTGCTTAAATTACCTAAACAAAAGGATTCGAGTGAGACGTTACCTTATAATTAAGACACAGAGGTAAAGCTCTAGCTGCTAAAGAAGAGGACACTGACATTTCAGAAGTTAAGATGGATCTCAGAGACCAGAAAATAGAAAACTTTCTATTCCCATCCTGCCCTTCAGAGTTCGGTTTTTGTTTATGAAATGCTGGGAATGTCTGAATTATAATCTCTCTTCTGTCAAATTAGCTAAGAAACGGTAATTTTTCTCAGGGGATGCTGGTGCCCATGAAGCACACATTTAAAATTTATCACTTCAGTTAATGAAATCTCATTCCAGCCAGTTGCTGTAAGCACCTCTGGATGCCAAACTGCCAGGCTCAGATAAATGTCCCGTTGAATCCTACCAGATTCCAATAAACAGCTTTTAGGTAGGAACTTGTGTCCAATTTACAAATGTTAAAGAACAGCTTGTGTTTCAATCCCCTCCAGGTGCTTTACAACCCTGGCACAACCCCTGACCACAAGGCTGTGCGTTTCACATTAGCGCTCTCGACCCATCTCACATGGGTCCAGCCTGGACATGGGGACAGACCTCCTGTCTGGGGTTGGGAACGGCAAAGGAACCATCAAAATAAAGCAGATGGTACCCACTGCTTATGCCCTACTTTCCCTCCAGCCCCATCTCACTGCTTTTGGGCAGCATTTCCAAGTAACGGACCGCACTCAGCCCTGGAGCAAACGGGTGCCAAACTCCTCAGCTACATCACAGAGGAGCAGAGGTGCAGCTTAAATGCTTCTGTGCTATGGGATGGCATTGCAAGAGAGGGGAGAAGGCTGGCGAAGGGCTACACAGAGCAGCCCACACTGTGTTTTGCTGCCCACCTGCTGCATTGAGGACGTGCAGGCAGCATCCCAAGTGGTTTCTCCTGGTATCCGGGGCTCGGCCTGTGTCGCAGCGGGGTCGGCAAAGTCACTCTTTCGAGTAGGCACAGTCTGTGTGGTCCCAGCTCTCCCTTCTGCTGGAAAAGTACAGTGCGTTCGCCAGGGCAGGGAGCGATATCACCCGGCACAAACCCCGTGCATCCCAATGAGGGGGGAAGGGCTGGCGGACACACGGCTCTGTAAATACTTCTTTATTAAGACATAAATACAAAGCTGAACAGGAAAGGAGCAGTGACAGGGTAAACCATGCCAGTACTGATCTGCGCGGATGATCTTACGATGCTGAACATCTGGTTCTGCTGCCGGCTTCCATAAAATCATCTTTAAAACCTACTTGGGTTATATCTCCATCAGCTGTTCAGTGCCCACAATGACTTCATTAACATGTTTGGCTGAAAAGAGAGAGAGAGGGAGGAAAAGAAGAGGAATTGAGTTTTGCAGCAGTGTTTCAGACCTTGCATTTTTTAAATCTGCATCTTTAAAATAAATGAGAAAAGCAGATTCTAGGGAACTTGAGTGCAGATTTGCTGCCCTTTTTTGGTCTCCAGCATCTCTCAGACAGCATCCCACACACATGGCAAAAGCCTAAACAACTGACTAAACATTAGGAGGTTTCTCTAATGAGAGTTTTCACATGTATGTGTCACTACCAAACAACAGTGGCCCGACGAAAGTCACAGCTGCTGCTGACAGGTGTACCTCTAGGCCCATGCAAAGAACCATCCACATCCAGCGTGGAGCTACACAGAACTACAAGGTCACTCCTCTGCCTATTCCCAGCCTTGGCGGACACATTAATGTGCCAGTCCCTGCCCCAGCACTGTTCATGCACTGTACTGAAAGAACCTTCCATTTAAAATGCAAAAGCAGCCTGTCAGGGAAAGACTGCAAATAAGGGATCTAGAGCCAAAATAATAAAAACACAAAACTGAAAGCCTAAAAATCCAAGCATGTGGCCTCAGAGCGTGACACAATGCCTGTGTGCTCCAAGTGGGTGTCCTCGGGGTATGGCCAGAGTTGGTGAATTTGAACCACTCCCTGGGAGTTGGACACCCATTCAAGTGAAGTTCAGGTGCTTTGAACCGTGCCCCAAGGCTCTCCATCCCCCTTTTACACTTCTGTACATTCAGAATAACAATTGGCTCTGGTATCCAGGGTGCCTGGGGTGAATCATCGGGGCCTGCAAGGTACTCAGGCACACCGTGTTGTCTCTAACACCTTACACAGTAGTGGGGGTAGATGGCCAAGGATGAAGGAAATAACCAGTTGTGTTTTATTTACCCACCTAAAATGCCTCCCCTCAGGGGAGCAGATTTTGCAAGAGTGCTGCAAAACAACAGCTACCCTGCCCTCAGCTGCAAAAAGCAATTACTGGCAGTTCCCAAACTGGCCCAGCTAACATGATGCTTCCCGTGGTTTAGAACTCAAGACATTATCTTTGCACCATGCAAACCGTCACTCCAAAAGTGGCTTGATTAAAAACTGTTCTGTAAACTTCAAGGATTTATTTGGACTGCAGCGAGATAACTTCCTGCTATGGCCCTGACCCCACCACCATGCTGATCCTGCTGTCCTGCCTGGAGGACAGAGTTGGGTTAGCCACAAGACTGCCTTCCAGAGATCCTTCGTGAAAATAACAACAAAATAAGAACAGAAAGATGCTTCTTACTTTCAGCATCAGATTGAGTAATTTATTCCTGTGCTCGAGGCATTTAGTGACAACTGATAATTAATCCTGGAGCCTCACGGAAACATCCTGCGTCTCAAAACTGGAGCTGGAAGTTGGAGCCTGGACTCCAGCACTGGGCATGATGAACGGAGGTGGATGCAGCTCGGGAAAATGAGGGACTGACTGTACGCATGCCAGGTGCAGGCGTGATGTAGGTAGCACCACACAATCTCCCTAGCACAGCTCTGCCAATAGCCCCAAGTCCAGCCTTCAGCTCCTCTCTCCTCCCGTCCTGGACCCCACACAGCTCTGCCAAGGTACCTCAAATCCAACCTGCAGCACTTCTTGCTGTAACATTCCTCACCCCCAACAACTTTCCCAATATATCTCGAACAGGCCCTGTAGCAACTTCTGTGACTCCATTCCTGAACCTCCTCCAAGCAGACTACCTATCATGTTGATTTCTGTGATGTGAATAAGACTCTGGCTAGCATCCAGCGAGAGTAATTACGTTATGCCTCTGCAGATTAAACATGCCTTCACCTAAGCTCATGAAGAACCATGGTTCAATATATGAGTTATCTGTAGCAATACCTTTTAATAAGGAACTTTCTGTTTCATTTCAGACAGCATCCTGCACTGAACGTGCAGATCTGGGATAGGCCCAGTTGCATACTTTGTTGCAGAGGTGGTACCAACTATTTGTATTTTGCACCAACATGCTTACAGCCTCCTTCTGGTATCTTGCATTTTCCATCTGATTAACTCAAGATGCTTTTCAAAAGCAGGTGAGTAAGAGCATTCCGATTTTACAGGTGGGGAAACTGAGGCAGCAGCAAGCTTACTGGGCTGATGCAGCACATGTTTCCTGATCTCCCATCCTGTCCTTCCCTGATCCACATGGCCCAGATTCTGGCACATGCAGTGTATCACTGCTACCACCAAACCCATTTCTCCTTGCATGGGCTAAAAGGAAACACATGAACGTGCCTGCCTCAAATCCACGAGAAAGTTTCTAGTGATAAAGGGAATGGTTTTGCTAGAAACAAAGCCTGATTCCGCACCCCAGGGGGATGTGATAGACAGATAAGGATTCACCCTGCTTCCCTCTTCCCTTCCCAAAGCCCTGCTTACAGAGGAAAGGGAATTCAGACTCCACCATTTGTGCCAAGGAGCAGAGCTGTGGATAGCTTTTCATTATCAGCCCTGGCTGCCAGTTGCCAGTGGCTCTGGCTGGTATCAGCAAGCTCAGTTCGTGCAGAAACTCTGCCTGAAACTCAGGGGGGAGGAGGCAGAAGTACCTCCCATGCTCCACTGTTCAGCTCCCTTCTCCTTCCCCAGCTCCCCATTAGGGATTTCTTACCAGGCTGCCTTTTATCTGACACTGGCAGGGTTACAGATGCATTCAGCCCGCAGAGAAAGAAGAGGGATTAGAGAAAGGACTTTCAGAAAGCCTTCGAGTTGGACTCTGCAACCTTAAATCATGTTCAACTAGATCTTCTCAGATTGGGAGCATCTGGTGCTAAGCAAATCCAGAGCTGATCAACACATTCAACCTCCTGATTAGCACTTTGATTCAACTTGCTGACGCAGCCCAGCCCCAAGTCAGCCTGGGTGCTTGAACCCAGCGTCCACGGAGATTTTACTGAGCGTAAATCAAAAACCTGTCACTCGTTATAGATGCATTCCTGCTTAGGAAGACGTGTGTTTACACATACTGTATGCTGAGCCCCTTAAAAACATACGCACAACACGAGGAGAGATGGGGAGCAGCAGAGCCTTTGGTGCTTGGCTAAAAACAAATTGTAATGCAAATAAACAAAGGGGCGGAAATGACTGCAGAGCCCAGCACAAACCCCACCACCGGGACGGGGGCTGCAGCCCAACGCTGCCCTCCCCTGCACGGCACAGCCTTCCTGGCAGGTTCCTGCGAAGCTGCTTACAGAAAGGGGATGCCGGAGCATTCCTTTAAAAGCCATGTGAAAGCATCTCCTTGCTGTTTGCTCAATTAGCCCCAGACAGATTGCTGCTGCTGCTGCTGGTGGCAACGCTGGGTTGTAAAGGAGGAGGGGAAGGAGGGGAAAGGCAGGAAAAAAAAAAAAGGAAGAAAAAAAAAGGTTAGGGCCTAGGCCCAGGACCACCACGAAGTTCCAGCCCTCAGGGGCTCCAGAAAACGTTCAGTTTACTCACTCAATTACATACACTGTTTTATAAACCCTTTAAAATAAAATAGAAAACAGTCCCTGGCACAGAATTACTGCTCTATTATACAGCAGTGATGAAAGCCACTGCTGTGTATTTGCTCTCTTTAAAGCAAGAGATAGTTTAACTTAAAAACTGGGCAGGGGGAGGGGTGCCTGCAGAAACGCATGCACGAAAACACACCGTGGGTGGCTCCTACCACATTCACCCAGGACAGAAAGGATCAGAGAGTGGGAGAGAGGAGCAACTTGTCTCTGCAGCAATGGTTGGCCCTGGAAAGGCAGCCAGGTTGGTGGGGGGAGAGGAACTAAAGGGGCTTAAGGGGATGGGAAGCAGCTGAAGCTTGACTCTGGGAGGCTGGAGGGTGTTTTAAATTACATGGAGAGATAAAGAAGGGAAGCAGGTGATGGAGGCTGATTTGTTTGTGTTTATGGAGCACCGGGGCTTTCCAGTCAAAGCCTGCCCTCTTCCCAGCTATGCCACATACTTACATGACCGCTGGTGATCGGGGTGACTGTACTGTGGCCCCAAAGGCCAGGAGTGTCTCACAGATTGTGAGTGTCGCATGAGCCTCACGCTGAAGCAGATGGCTGTGCTTGAAGGGCTCTGGAGTGATGCTCCCTGTAAGCATCCCAGGGAGGGATGTGCAACTCTGCCCAGGGCACTGGGAATGGTACTGGTGAGAGCTTCAGGCACATCAGCTCTGGTGAGCAGCTGGGGGCCCAACCCAGGCTCCAGGCAGAGAACAGATGGAGATCCGCTCTTGGAGATCCCACCCTTGTTGTACACCACTCCCAGCAAACACCCATGTGCAGTGCCTGTGCTCACTTGGGGCAGCTGAGGCTTCTCTCACCAGTATTGTATACAGAATGGTTTGGGCTGGAAGGGACCTTCAAAGATCATCCAGTCCAATCCCTGGTCACGGGCAGGGCCATCTTGCACTAGATCAGGTATTAACCCCTTCTCCCTCATATCCACTCAGAGAAATGGGTATGTCTTGGGATGTAAAGGTAAAGGCAACAATGAACTCAGTGTTTGAAGAAAGAAGAATTTACTGTGGCTTTGAGCAGATGGACAGGGTGGGGTGAAGGAACTGGGAAAAGTGATTGCTTGAGATATGGGAATGTGATTGCTCAGGGTGTTAGGAAATACATTCATCAGAGAAAAGTGAGACTAAGGACTAGAGATGTGCACAACAGTGAGCTCCTTGGAGACAGGGACACACCCACAGCCCCAGCACTGTGGCAGTGTACTAGCAATCATTGAAGAAGGGGACTGGGTTACACTGATGGATGTGCTCCCACAGGGGCATCACTCCCCCACAGCAAATGCTAGCAGGGATCTCAGAATTGTCAATCTGAAGGCCTCTGTCCACACTTCCTACTAGGATGGCAGCAGTGCCACATCTGCCTGGAGACTGCTGCCCACGGTGCTGGACCCCTTCCTCTCTCAGGTCCCCTTCCTCTCTCAGGCATCCATTGGGGTGTCCTTCCTGGCTCTTTCATGTGGCTGAGCTCTAGC